AATAATCTTAAAAAATCCTCGATATCCTTGATATTTTTATTGCACGATTAAAGCTCTGTCTTTGGAAAAACAATATTCAATATTCTTTAAAAATTCTGAATTTTTGCTCGAATAGTCTTCGAAAAAAAACTTTCTAAAAAAAGAGGCATGAGCTTCGATAGTCTTGGGAAAACATTCCTCAAAAATGCATGATTATAGCACAAATGGTAATTGAAATAATATTTTTTTAAAAATACAGCACCATAGCTCAGGTGGCCCTCGAAAAAAATTCCCAAAAAAAAAAAAAAAATTTAAAAAATGACGTTCATAGCCTCGATAGTTCTCGAAAAACATATTCTTTAAAAATCTTGAAAAACATTCTTTAAAAATCCACGGTAATAGCATCGATGGTCCTTGAAAAATAATCTTCAAAAATTCTCGATGTCCTTGATTTTTTTTTTTAAATTCCACGATAAAAGCTCTGATGTCTTTAGAAAAAGATCTTTAAAAATCGATGTCCATTGCCTCGATTGTCCTTAAAAGACATATTCTTAAAAATCCTCTATGGCCCTTGAAAAATATTCTTTAAAAGTCCATGATAATAGCCTCTATGGTCCTTGAAAAATAATCTTCAAAAATCCTTGATGTCCTTGAATTATTTTTTTTAATTCACGATAAAGACTTTGGAAAAATATTCTTCAATTTTTATCCTTCATTATCCTCGATGGTCCTTAAAAAATATTTTATAAAACCCTTCGATTGTAGCCTTGAGTATTATCTCTCGAAAATCCACGATTATAGCATCGATGATCCTTGAGAAAAATTCTTTGAAAATCAAGGATTATAGTTCGAATATAGTTGCGGTGATCCTTGAAAGAAGACACATATTCTTTAAAAGCCCACGATTGTAGCTCCGATGATTTTTGAAAAAATATATATTTTTTTTTTTTTTTTAAATCCGGAATTATGGTCTGACATATTGGATATTTCTCTCTTAAAATTAGAGCTGACCTGAATTGATATTGCTGTTTTAATACATTCTGAAAATATCATCGCACACCACAATCCTTTAAAAAAATAAATAACTAAAAAACTAATTTACTACCAAAAATTATTATTCTACCCTCGTTACCATCATCAGTTAGGCTTAGTGTTTTTTTCTATGACAAAAAAAAAAAACAACAACTCAAAAAAAAACCTTTTATGCCACCATCATTTATTCCCCATTTGCACTGCATTTTTGTTATTTGTTGCACTTTCGCCCGGTTTCTCGCGCTCATAATGGCCCAGAATGTCAGCTTCCATAAACAATAACAACAACAACATCCCAGCTTGTCGGGGGGCCAACTCAAATGAACTACCAGCGCGATGCAGTTGTGAAACCCCATAAACCTTTCAAGATACTCACTGCAACAACGACAACAAAAACGCTAAATGGAAATGTTGACAATTTAAATTTGTTGCCTACCATTTAGCAGAGAGTGAATGAGTGACGGCGGAGCTTCTGTGGGTCGCAATACAAAGGCAACAACAAAAGGCTAGCATAAAAAATTAAACACTCACAGATCGTTAGTTTAGTAAAATGGCAAAGCGATTTGTTGGTGGGGTTGGCAAAGAGCGGAAAATTGTCCTGTGGAAAGGGGAATTTGGAAATATAATATTAGGAGTTAAAGCAGATAAAAAATTGTTGTAGCTATTCAAAAAAGGATAGTAATGTTATGGCTACCGAAATTATATATCATTTAATGCGACCAAAATATTCTTTATCGTAATAGCGGTTTCAGACCCTATGTTTCTTTGGATAATGTCTTATCCGTAATAGAGCGTTAGCTGTCGATCTAGCGATTTGGGCCATTCTTGACACATCGTAATATTTCTGTCAAACTTAAAGCAAGTTAGAAGATGACCAATATCGGACTACTTCTACTGGTCATTACATCCAAAATAGTTCAAATTTCTCAAAATAAACTCATATAAAGTTGAAGGATTCAAATTTGACACAACAATAACTATTAAACTAGATTCAGGTCAGGCTTGACAATAGTGACACTTTTTTCTCGGTCCAAATGGACAATATTTTTGAAAAATTATAAAACGTGAAATCAGTGCCTGATTTTTTTAAAATTTCGTACACATTCCTGAATTTTTTTAATAAATAATTTTCAAGGATCACCAGGGATGGTGGTTTTTGAGGTATAAAAAAAACCTTTTTAAGAAAAAAAAAATTCAATAAGTTCTGTCAAAAAATCGTGGATTTTTAGAGAAACCATTTCAAGGATCTTCAGACGGAAGATCGTGACTTTTTCCGATGTAATCTTTGTCGAAAACCGTCGATATCTTGGACGAGAAACTTGGAACTTTTTAAGGACATCGTCACTGGGAATCGCGGGTTATTTTGAGAGATCTTTTCGGAGTACCTTCTGAAAGAAACATTTTCAATAAGATCTGTCTTCGTGAATTTTTAGAGAAACTATTTTTTAAGATCTCCGAATGGAAGATGGAGGTTTCTTACGAGGGGTTCTTTGCCGAAAACCGTCGATATCTGTTTTTGAGGATATCTTGAACGAGAAACTTTGAGCTTTAAGGACCTCGTCACCAAAAATCGTATAGTTTTGAAGACATTTTTGACCGATTGTCATTCATATTTTATGTTCTTTCCTCTTAACTTTATATGATAAGCTCTTTATAAGATAATTATTTCAAGAATCTCCTGGCAGATCGAATCGTGGATCGTGGATCCTTTATCAACGGACCATCAGACTGAATATCGTTGATAAAAAAAAATTAAGGACCCTGACAGTAAATCGTGGATTTTTTTAAAATTTTTTATGACCGAAATTCCTGGAATTTCTGTGGAATATTTTTGAAGATCCTTCAACGGAAAATAGTGGCAGAATCGTTTTTAAGTTAATTTTTCGAGGCTTTCCTGACCGGAAATTGTTGAATGTTTTGAAATATCGAAAATCGTGGAATGCTTTACATTTTTGATTTTTAAGGACGTCAAAAAATGGGGGATTAAAAGAATTAAGGTCCTCCACCGAAAATCATAGATTTTTTAAAATAAAGTTAAAGGACGTCTCGACAGAACATCGTTATTATTTATTTTTTTTTTAATTTCGAAGGACATCCTGGGCTTGCTTTTCCCCAAATTTGTCATATCAAAAAACCTAAAAAGCAAAGTGACCATTCCCTTCGCCGGGATTAAATCATGACACTGATAGCGATCAGAAAAATATTGCAAAGCTGCCAGTTTCGTCTTAAAAAATACTGTTCTCTGTAATAGAAAGTAATATAAAGTTACAAAGTTACAAGAACACTCCAGACTTTAGCATTCAATTTTCAAGGATCTTCAAAATGAAGGACCTCTAACCGAAAATCCTAAATTTTTTAATATCTTTTTTAAGACCTCCTTCCTAATCGAAAATCAAAGATCTTTCAATTAAAAACTTACAAGGACCTTTTGATCGAAAATTGTGAATTCTTAAAGAAATATTTTTTTTAAGGACATCCCGACGGAGAGTCGTGGATTTTTTTCAAATGCATTTTTTTAACGACCCCCTGAAAGTAAAAATTTTCCAAGAGAATGTTTTGACATTTTTAGAAATACTTTTCGAGAAACTCCTAAAAATCAAGGCTCTTTAAGAATATTTTGAAGATGTTTAAAACTTTTACTCCTGGCCGAAGGAAGGTCTTCCAGTTCGAATGACCATCTAACAGAAAGTCAGGGATGTTTTTTATATATATTTGCCTAAAAACTTAGAATCGTGGATTAAAAAAAATGAAGGGGGAAAGTGAAGTTTTAAAGAAACCCTTCTGATTGTATGACGTGAATTGTTTGGAATTTTTTCGAGGACCTCCTGGCAGAAATTCGTAGAATTCTGATTGAATGGCGTGATTTTTTTAGAGTTTTTTTTTTCAAGGTCCTCCTAAAAAAAATCATAGCAACCTTCTGATTGAATTGCATAATTTTTTAAGGGGGTTTTCAAGGACCTCGTGACAGAAATTCATAGCAACCTTCTGATTGAATGGCGTAAATTTAGAGTTTTTTCAAGGACCTTTCTGTCAAGGGGTCCTTAAAAAGACCTAAAAATAGAAACCTTCTGATTGAATGGCGTAAATTTTTAGGGTTTTTTTCAAGGACCTTCTGATAGAAATTCGTGAGGGTCTTCAGGGATCTCCTGACACAAATTCGTTGAAATGTTTTTTTGCAAATTCGTGAGTTTTTTAAAACATTTTTTTTACAAATTATTTTTGATTTTTTAAGATTTTTTCAAAAATATTTTTTCAATGCCCCTCGTGATTGTCTTTGAAGGACTTTCTGACAGAAAATTATGGATATTTGAGAACATTTTCTCATGAAATTCCTGACAGGAAAATATGCATTGTTTAATAATATTCTAAGGATTTCTACATTTTAAGGTCTTCCTCAAGAAATTTTTCAATGCCTTCATACCACGAAATGTTACCTTTTGTTCACGGCATTTTGTAAATAATACCTCCCACAACTTTTAGTCGCATATAGTCAATATAAATATACGCATATAAAAGATCATATAATGTGGGTATATATAGGGGGTAGATACTATATGTAATTCTTTTATCCAAAGATGTAGATGACTTATGATTTTATCCCCCCCGTGGAGACTTCTTAAAGGATCTTTTCCCGATACGAATCCTCTGAAGGCTTTTCCATCTATAAATGCTTTTTCATCTGAAGGCTTGTATTTGAGAATATGGATAATTATTTTATGTATTCGTGCGGATAATTTTTTATTTCCTATTCTGAATAATGTAATTTTCTTTTGGGAAAATATTTGTAGTTTTAAACATAAAAAAATATTAAATTTAATTACCCATTAAAATTGTTCGCAACTCCCACATAGGTACAGTAGTTCAACTTCATTTTTATCACCCCAACCTTCATTCTTCTTTTTTCACAAAAAAAAATCCAGTAAAACTTCGTTAATGATGTTGATTTTATTATAATTGAATTCTTTCTTTATCCACTTCTCTCTTTTCAGATCCTTTGAACACACACACACAAACACATACACGCCCATCCCAAAAAGAAAAAACAGAATGTTGGACTTTTGGCTATAAAAGAAACAACAAAAAACTCCCACACACCCAAAAAAAAAGAAACAAAATTACAAAAACAACGCAAACAAAATGGCATTCAGTTACGCCTGCCTTACACTGCAACGTGTAGTCCTACCAATTGTTTTGGTATTAGGTAAGTCCTTTATTTTTTGGCTATGAATGTAATTTGAAAAGGGCATAAGGGTGAGAAGTTCTTTGAAGGGTAGGAGACCTTTAGAAAACATCTAAAGGATTTCCTATTCTTAAAAGTCTTCTAAGGTGTATTCTATCTGCAGAAGACATTTGAAAGACAATGATGTATCATTTCATAAAAGACGTCTTGAGGGACTTCTATAGAAGAGAAGACGTCTGAGAAACATCTGCAGAATACCTCTGAGGGATTTCTGTAGGGTATTTTTTATTTAAAAACCTCGGAGGGATCTTCTCTTTGTAGAAGACTTCTGAAGGGTCTTCTTTATTCTTAAAGCCTCCAAAAGATCTTCTCTATACAGGAGACCTCCGAAGGGTATACTTTATTAAAAAAAAAAACCTTTTTAAGGGTCCTCTCTATGTATAAGACCTTTAAGGGGTCTTGTCTTCGTGGAAGACCTACGAAGGATCTTTTCTATTTGGAAGATCCTAAAGATTTTTCTCTAAATGGAAGACCTCAGAAGAGTTTTTTCTTCATGGAAGACCTTTTGAAGGGTCTTTTCTATATGGAAGACCTCTGAAGGCTCTTCTCTATATGGAAGACCTCTCGAGGCCTTCCCCATATGAATGGCCTCTGGCGGGTCTTCTTTTGATGGAAGGCATCTTAAAGGTCTTCTCTTCTGAAGGTTATTCTCTATGTAGGAGACCTTTAAGGAGTCGTCGCTAAGACCTCCGAGAGGTCTTCTCCATGTAGAGGACCTTTAAGAGGTCTTCGCTATACAGAAGTCCTCTGAAAAGTCTTCTCTATTGAGAAGACCTCAAAAGTGTCTTCTCCATTTAGAAGTCCTCTAAAGGGTCTCTTCTTTATAGGAAACTTCCGAAATGTCTTCTCTATATAGAAGACCTCTGAAGTGTCTTCTATATAAAGCAGACCTCTGAAGATTCTTCTCTATTTAGAAGATCTCTGAGAGATCTCCTCTATGTAGAATGAGTCTTCTGTACAAAGAAGACCTCGGAAGAGTATTCTCTTTATAGAAGATCTCGGAAGGGTCTTCTATATATAGAAGACCTCTAAAGGGTCTTTTCCATTTATAAGACCTCTGAAGAAACTTCTATATATAGAAGACCTCTGAAGAGGTTCCCTCCATATAGTAGACCTCAGATGGGTCTTCCCTATATAGAAGAACTCTTAAGAGTTTTTTTGTTTTTAATAGAAGACTTCTGAAGTGTCTTTTCTATACAGGAGACTCCTGAATAATACTCTCTATTGAGAAGACCTTTAAATGTTCTTCCCGTTATAGAAGACCTCTGATATATCTTCTTACATAGACTTCTGAAGGGTCTCTTCCATTTAAAAGACTTTTGAAGGATCTTCTCTATTAAGAAGACTTCTTCTTCTCCATCTAGAAGACCTCTGAACAGTCTTTTCCGTTATTGAAGACCTTCGGAGGCTCATCTCTAGAATATCTCTGATCGGTCTTCTCTTTATAGAAGACCTCTGAAGGGTCTTCTCTATGCAGGAGACTTCCAAAGGTTCTTATATTTAGAGGACATCTTAAAAGTCTTCTCTATTTGGAAGACCTGTGAAGTGTCTTTTCTTTATTCGGAATACCTTTTGTAATATAGCAGACCCTGAAGAGTCTTCTTCATTTGTAAGACTTCTGATGGGTCTTCTGTAAATATTGAAGAACCTTCTAAATCTAAATTATTCTTTTCATGTCTAAGATACCTGAGAGGTCCTTGGAATCCTATATGAGAATGTCCTTCCTATTTTATAACCTCTAATTAATTGTTCCTTTTCGTTTTCTTCCAGCTGCACTATATCGTCCTGTCGGTATATCCTTCGTATACCTGTTGATGTTCTTCGTGTCGCCGTTCATACCGGTGGCCACAAAACAGAACTTTAAGGGTTCTGTCACAGCGTATTTTATAATTCTTCTAGCGTTAAGTACCATACTCCTACTATGTCACATTGGACTGCAAGTTTCGATATTTGCCCTGCACATTGGCGATATGTTCGGGACGTGTAGCGTTACCGAACGACTGCTGAGGCACATTGGATTTATAGGCTTTCAAAATTTGAAGTGAGTACTTCCCAAGATTCCCCTAAAATTTAGTAATTCAAAATTTCTCTCTTTTTTCGCAATTGCAGAGCCTTTGCCATTGTCGAATGGCTGGCCCCAGAAGTGGTGGTCTTCATCACATCCCTGGTCGTGTACATAATCTCCAAGAAAATCACCCAAACTGTTGAGCCCCAACTGGAGACTGGAGATGTGGAGGTGGCGATACGTGAAAATGGCGGAGGAGGAGGAGGCAGTGAAAATCCGAATGAAGAAATCTCCAATGCCCTGGTCGAAGATGCACAAAGGCAAAAACATGTTGTGGTGGCGGCGGCATGCTCATCATCTGCTGCGGCAACAGTCGACGATAACACCAAGCCAAATTTCGATGGACTGATAAAAATATGTAAGTATTTTGGCCTAACCTGAATTGAGGATTCCTCTATGGTCATGGCCATTTGAATGTTCTCCCCACCCAAAAACAAAAAACGACAGCAAAATAACTGCCAGCCATTTAACAAATATCTTTTTCTCCTCCATTTTACAGCTCCCCTTTTCTGTTTGGCAACCCTTTTCTTTTCGGCCGTCCTGCGACCCAGTGTACCAGGTGGTTTTTATTTTTTAATATTCCTACTGTCGGGTCTCTACTGGGCAACGTTCCAAACATTGCAAAGGTAAGTTGGAAAAATAACCCGAAAATCTAACCTTCTTCCACTCCTCTCCCACTCTCCTTTCACCTGACCTAAAGTCGAACAAAGACAATATCCGTTGGCTGAGTGAATGAACGGATGTTAGTTTTGCAACAATAATAACAACAACAAGAAAAATTCAATTTATGTTAAAAGAGACAACAACAAAAATAATAGGAAGAACGACAACAAGGATAGTTGTAGGACAATAGACTCCAAGGCAAATTTTGTAGAGGAGTAGCAAAACAACAATGACAAAAATGTTTTGTTCCATGGCAGATTTGCTGTGAAGGGGGTTGGTATGGAAATTTTAATTTTAAGTGGCTATTTCCCCAGACAGAAGACCTTTCGGAAACTTTCTATTGTCACTAGATCTCTCAAAGGTCTTCTTTAAAAAGGACATCTATCAAGGGTCTTCAATGGACATAAGATCTTCCAAAGCTCTCTTATAGACAGAAGTCCTACCAAAAGCCTTCTATGGACAGCAGACCCGTTAAGGTATTATATAGACAGAGGACCTACCAAAGGATCTCTCAAAGGTTTTCTTCCATGGATAGAATACCTTCCAAAGTTCTCCCATGGACAGAAGTCCTACCAAAAGCCTTCTATGGACAGCAGGCCTGTCAAAGGTATTATATAGACAGAGGACCTACCAAAGATCCTCTTGTGTAGACGAAAGACCCACGAAAAGTGAAGAAGATCTACGAAGGCCTTCTATAGACGGAAGGCTTACCTGAGGCCTTTTGTGGACAGAAGGTCAACCATAGGTATTTTATGAATAGAATACTTACTAAAGGCCTTCTTTAGACAGAAGACCTGCCGAAGGTCTTCTATGGACAGAACACCTGTCGATGGTCTTCTAAGTTCTGCCAAAGTTTTTCTATTCACAGAACATCTACGAAAGGTCTTCTATAGACGGAGGACCTTCTTTTGATAGAAGACCTTCCAAAAGTCTTGTGCTGATAAAATACCTGCCGAAGGTCTTCTATGGACAGAACACCTGCCGAAGGTCTTCTAACGACAGAAATTCTATCAAAGTCTTTCTATGGACAAAACATCTACAAAAGGTCTTCTATAGAGGAGGACCTCTCAAAAGTTTTCTGTGGACAGAAGACCTCTCAAATATCTTCTATAGACAGAAGAACCCTTTGAAGGTTTTATACAGACAAAATACCGGTTCAAGATTTTCTTTAAACAGAAAACTTACCAAAGGTCTTCTATGGAAAAGTATCTCTCCAATGTATTTTAAAAACTACTTCTATAGACAGAAGGTCTATCAAAGGCTTTCTTTGGACGGAAGACCTGTTAAAGGCCTTCTATGGACAGAATACTTGAATAATATATTTCAAAGGCCTTCTTTGGATTGACAGAAGACCTCTCCAAGTTTTTCTATAGAGAGTAGACCGGTCACAGGTTTTATGTAGAAAAAAGACACCTGTCAAAGGTCTGCTATAGACAGGAGACCTGTCGGACAGAAAACTTGAAGAAGATCCATTGACAGAAGACCTGTCAAAGGTCTTCTATTGACTGAAGACTTGCCAAAGTTCTTCTATGTACAGATGACTTTGGACACAACACCTGCCTAAGGCTCTCTCAAAGTTTTTCTGTAGACAGAAGACCGATCAAAGATCTTGTATAGATAGAGGATCGTTAAAAGACCTTCTATAGACAGAATACCTCTTAAATGTCTTCTGTAAAACAAAATACCTGTCAAAGGTCTTCTATGGACAGAAGGCTTAAAAAAGATATTTCAAAGGTATTCTTTGGAGAGAAGACCTACCAAAAGTTTTCTTTGGACAGAATACCCTTCCAAAAAGCCTTCTTTAGACAGTAGACCCACTATATGTCTTCTATGGACGGAAGACCGATCAAAGGTCTTCTATAAAGAGAAGACCTTTCGAAGTTTTCCTTTAAACAGAAGACTGGTCAAAGGCCTTCTATAAATAGAAGTTCGATCAAAGGTCTTCTATAGACAAAATACGAAATACTTCTGGACGAAATACATCCGGACGAAAGACCTACCAAAGGTCTTCTATAGGCAGAAGATCTAAAAAGTCTTATTTAGACCTCGGACGGTCTTCTATAGACCTGCCAAAGGTCTTCTATACACAGAAGACCTATCAGAAGACCAGTCTCCTGCCAAAGGTCAAAAGTCTCCTTTGCACCAGAAGACCTTTCAAAGATCTTTTATTGACAGAAGGTATGCCTAAGTTTTTCTATAGTCCAAATAAATTTCAAAGGTCGTTTGTAGCCAGAAGACCTGTCAAAGGTCTTCTAAAGACTCATAACTTTTAGAAAATCTTCCGAGACAGATAAATTGTCAAACTTCGTCTAAATTCCATTCAGGAGTCTTCTGTAAAATTAAGAGAACTCGGGGCCTTCCCAGATAGGAGACCCTTCAGAGCTGGCCCACTGACCCCACTACCCCCTTTGAAAATAATTCCCCTTAACAAAATCTTCCGTAACAGATAATTTGTCAAATTTCGCCTAAATTCCATTCAGGAATCTTCTGTAAAAATAAGAGTATTCGAAGGTCGTATAGGACGTATAGGAGACCTTTCAGAGCTGTCCAACTCATCATGCCACCCCTTTTGAAAATAATTCCCCTTTACAAAACCCGTCCAACCCAATTTCCACTGATATCTGTGATTTGTTTCGGTTAGTTTTCATTTTGGTACCCGTTTAGATATCTTCATTCTTTCCTCCCCCTCTTCCCTTGCTTCCGAACATCTATTTATCTATCCCGTTATTCTTATTTAATATATCTTTTTTCTCTTGGCTTCCGTTTTCATTCTCTGTTTTTTCTTTTGCTCTTCTAGGAAATTTGCCATGTTATTACGTTTCGTTATGGTTGTCATTGTGGCCCATACCCTTTGTATTGTCGCCTATCAAACGCCATGGATGCAGGACCATTTGGAGAAGACAAGTTTAACAGCCAGGTAAGTTGATGTGTCTGTGTGTGTGTGTCTACATATTTTCAAGCTTGTATTATTAATGATATGCCTGCGAGCTGATGCTATTTTGTTGGCCAGCATTGGGGTTGGTAACTGATGGCCGAACAGCAGAAAAAAGACAAAGTGAACGATTTAGATTTAGTTGATTTATAGTTGATACGGTGATTTTGCTCTCCATTGTACCTCAATGCAAGATGAGAGCGGGGGATTTTAAGTAGCTTGTTTTGTGGTTTGATTTGAATTGCATACTTAGAATAACAAATGGAGAAAAACATTATTTAAACGTCTGAAAATATGTCATTGAAAGTCCTTGATATGTGCCTTAAAATCCCTAAATATTTCCTATAAATAATATTCGAATATATCCTTGGCAGTTCTTGAAAGTTTATTTAAAAGAAGTAAAGAATTTTGAATACCCTCCATCATTTGGAAAGAATTTCGCAATATTAAAAAAAAATATTTAAATATTCCGTTAAAATTTTAAAAAAGCTTAATGTGGACCTGCGCAGGAAACTTTTGTCAAAAGCCATTACAATATTCAAATGCGAAACTTGAAAAAATAATCGGTGCTTAAGTCACCAAAATACCGAAAATAGGGAGGTATCATTATATCGGGGCTATACAAAAACGTAGACATAGGCTTTAGTATCCATTACGAACTTAAAATACCTAATTTGAAACAATTCCGGAGAATAATGTCGCTAAAATCTTCAAAATACTGAATATAGGGATGTACTATTGTATGGGGGCTATACCAAAACGTGGACCTGTACAGACAATTTTTTGTCATGGGCTGTAGTATCCATTATGAACTTCAAATACCAAATTTGAAACAATTCCGGTGAAAAATGTCGCTTAAATCACCAAAATACCGAATATCGGGAGGTACCGTTATATGGGGGTTATACGAAGACGTGGGCCTGCACAGACAATTTTCTGTCATAGGCTGTAGTATCCATTGCGAACTTCAATTACCGAATTTGAAACAATTCCAGAGAATAATGTCGCTAAAATCATGAAAATACCAAATATCGGGAGGTGTCGTTATATGGAGGCTATACCAAAACGTATACCTACATGGCCCATTTTTAATACCGAAAGTCCTACAGAAATAATAAACATTTGAGTAAAATTTTATCAACCTACATCATTTCGTTCAGAAGTTAGAGTGATTTCCACAGACGGAATATTGTGCTGATCAAGAATATATACAGGGTGAGATAAAAACTGCAACAAAGTCAAACATCATAATTTTTACATTTTTTTAATTTTATTGAATGAAAGCAAAAAAATATCGGAAAAAGCATCAAATTTAGAAAAAGTTTAGATTTGTTCGAATTGATCACCTTTGGCATGAATTGGCCGTTTGAAGGCCAATGAAACCGTCACACGCTGCCGGACAGTTGCTCTGCGGTATTTTGGCCAATTTCCGGCGAAGCGCTTGTTTGAGTTGATCGACACTTTGGTATTTTTTAGTGCCAACCTTGCGTTCCAAAATATTCCAGAGACAATAGTCCAACGGAATTGGTATCCGAAGATTTTGGTGGCCGTTGTGCGCTGGAAATGAAGCGAGGAACCTCATTTTGTAGCCATTCTTGGGTGGCGGGGGCTATGGTGCGATGGTGCTGAGTCCTGTTGGAATGTCCAAGGTCTGCGGCCAAAATGTTTGCGTGCAAAAGGCTTTGATACACCCTCCAGAATATTTTCGCGATAATATTCGGCATTTATTCTGATGCCACAGTCAATTAATACGAGCGGAGAGCGACCATCGGCTGTTATGGCGGCCCACACCATCACCATGGCCGGCGCTTGAGTTCTGGTGGCCAACGGAAGGTGCACATTTTCAGCTGACCTCTTTGGCAAGTAAACACGATCGCTTCGTTTGTTTACAAACCACTGGACAACGAATGTTTTCTCATCGGAGAAAGCAAAATTCGGCAGTTCACCACTTTTGGCCAAGCGAAGCAACTTTTTAGCACTTTTCAGTCTATTTTCTTTATGTTGCGGTATAAGTTCTTGCACTTTTTGGAATTTTAATGGCTTTACGCCGAACTCATTTTTCAATATTTGCCGAATGGAATATTGCGATATGTTCAGCTCACGAGCCATTTTTCGGCCACTGCGACGCGGGTTTCGATCGAGTCGCTTCTTTACTTTTCGAACCATTTCTGCTGATGTTGCTGTTTTCTTCCGTACACTTCCTTGACCTCGGGCTACGCTATCAGAATAACGGTAATAAGCGATGGTACGAGACATAAAAGATTTATTTTCATATTTAAATGCTGGAGTGCTCTAACGATATCCACTTATCGTTTTCCAGCCAAATATAAAGAAATCACACCATCACGCTTGAATTCCATCACGAATAACATTTTTTCTTGAAAATTCTCACCAAAATGCTTTTGTACGCTTCTAAACAATATAATGAGCTGTCACTGGAATAATTTTAACAGCTATCGGAAAAGTGGCTTAGAAATGACAGCAGTCTGAAGTTGGTTACAAAATCAGGTTCCTCGCTTCATTTCCAGCGCACAATGGCCTCCAAAATCTCCGGATACCAATCCGTTGCCACAATAGTGGCAAGGTTGGCACTAAAAAATACCAAAGTGTCGATAGCCTTAAGCAAGCGTTTAGCCAGGAATGGGCCCAAATACCGCAGAGCAACATTCGGGCAGCGTGTGACGGTTTCATTGGCCGTTTTAAGGCCATTATTCGTGCCAAAGGTGACCAATTCGAACAAATCTAAACTTTTCTAAAATTTGATGCTATGTCCGACCTTTTTTTTGCTTTCAATCAATAAGACTTGGCGTTTGACTTTGTTGTAGTTTTTTATCTCACCCTGTATATACTCTTGATCAGCATAAAATTCTAAGACGATTTAGCCCTGTCGGCCGTTCGTCTGTTGAAATCACGCTAAAGTAAAAACGAAAAAAATTTTGCAGGCAGGTCAAGTTCGAAAATGTGCTATATCGGTCCACGATATCGTATGGCCCCCATATAGCGGTACATCCCGATACTCGGTATTTTGATGATTTTTGTCACATTTTTCAATGGCATTGTCCGAAATTCTACACAAGGAGTTCTCTGTGAGTACTTTACGCCCTGAAAGAGCATTTTCTATATAGGTCCACGATATCGTATAGCCAGCATATAACGGTACCCCCGATATTCGGTATTTTATTTTTTAGCCACATTTTTCAATGAAATAGTCTAAAAATCCACACGACATTATTCACCGGTATTGCGTCAAATTTCGTATTTGAAGTTCGTTATGAGTACTGCAACCTATGACGGAAAATTTTCTCTGCAGGCCCACGTCTTAGTTTAGCCCCCTTGCGACGGAATCTCCCTTTATTCGGTATTTTGATTATATGTTCGACATTATTCACCGGAATTGTTTCGAATTTTGTATTTGAAGTTCGGAATCATTACTACAGCCTATGATAGAAAAATTACTTATCCAGCACCACGTCTTCGTACAGCCCCCATATAAAGGGTTTTATTTGAGCGGTATTTTTCGACGGAATTTATCTTTTTTATTTATTACATTTTTCAAGCTCCTTCCGATTTGTGGAGGGTATAAAAAATTCGGCCCGGCCGAACTTAGCTTCTTGTTTACTTGTTTTAATTAACCACGTTTACTGGATCGTCTTTCAAAAATGTTTTCATAAAATCCGAGTTTCTTTTATAGTCCTTGAAAAAATATTCTTTAAATAATCCATTTAATTTTGATTCCAGATTAATTGGCCTTGAACCTCTCATCACATCCAAATGTGCCGATGACATCCGAATCATTGTCTACAACACGGAATACAAAGCGGATTCATTTTTGAATCCGATTGTGTTATTCTTTACCTATTATGCATTAGCCCTAACCACCAAGAATCTCATTAAAATAAGGGTAAGTTTCAAAATCTTATTTAGCTTTTTATTTTTTTATTCAAAAACTTCCCTTTCGGATTTCAAATGATTTCAAATTTAAAAAAATTCAAATCATAACTAAAATTCAATACTTTATAAATAATCATAACCAAAATTTCCTTCTTTTTCTAACCAGAAGTACATAAAATATTGTAATTTACAGCAAATTTTTTCTCAACTGACTAACCAAAAAAACCTCTTTTCAAAAATCATATTTCTTCTATTCTACATTTTTTTAATTCTCTAAAAAAATAAAAATGCTGCTTGCATATGGTCTGGCTTTAACCTAATCTTTTTACTAAACGACTAAAACTGGACACGGTTTTCAATACAAACATCAAAATCTAATTTATCTAAAAAAAAAAATAATAACCAAACAGATAATAACAAAACAAGCCACCGCTTTTGGCCAAGATCTCGATAACAACAGTAGCCATAAGATACAGCGCCAAATCTCGCTAATAACCCAGTCGACGCGCAGTAGCAAACGCGATGGTGGTAGTCGAATGAGAACACAGCGTCTTCATGTAAGATTTTCATACCAAAACAAAAATAATATTTTTTTTCAAAATTTCCCCGAGGTTGATTTTTTGATTTTAATTATTATTTTTTTTTTTTGATTTTTTTACTTTGGGTTTTGTGAGATTTTGATATTTTTCAACAAAGTGAAAAATTGTAAAAAAAGGTATTTGTGAGAAAAGTTATATTTTTGTACATTGTGTGCGGGAATGAGGAACTTGTACAAATTGTCATCGTTGGTATTGATATATATTTCAATATTGTAATAAAAATAAATATTATTGTACATAAAACTTGACAATATTTAACAAGCCATAACAGTTTTCAGGACCCTTTAAAAATTATTTCCTATCAATTAAATATGTCAGAGAGTAGTTATGTTCCCTTTAATCAAAATGTGTTTTAAAAATGAATGTCTCACTGGTTGTCTAAACATTTTCAGGTCATCGTTGGAAGAGGTGTCGTATAAGTGATGTAATTTCAACCATATGTTACTCATACGTCCCACATCACACTACATTATTGACTAGGATTTTTATACCCTACACCACAAGGTGGTCAGGGTATTATGTCTTTGTGCATTTGTTTGTAACAGGCAAAAGGGAACGAGATAGACCCTTAGTTCCTTTTGATGATCTGCATAGAATCACTTTCTGAGTTGATTTATGCATGTCAGTCCGTCCGTCCGTCTGTCCATGTGTTCTTGTGAACAAAATGCAGGTCGCAGTTATTATCCGATTGAGATAAAATTTTGCAAAAAATATTTGTTTGGCCCAAGCACGAACCCATTGAAATTGGAGATAATCGGTAAAAATTTAGATATAGCTCCCTTATATATCTTCGTCCGATTTGCCTTTTATTGTGCACCAAACGTGTAATATCAGCCCGAATAGTATGGAATTTTGCACATACAACCAAATTAGGCCTGAAAATAAGTATGCCAAATTTGATCGAAATCGGTTCAGATATAGCTATAGCTCCCATATATATTGTTAATCCGATTTGTTATTTTTGTCCTCCGCAGTCGTAATATACACTCTGTAACAACAATATTTGGGGAAATACATCAAATGCAGTTCAGAAATACCTTTGCTAAATTTTATCGAGATCGGTTCAGATTTGGACATAGCTCCCATATATAACTTCGTCCGATTTACCTTTTATTGTGCACCAAACGTCTAATATTTGCCCAAATGAGATGGAATTTGGCACATACGACCGAATTTAGCCTAGAAGGTAGTATGCCAAATTTGGTGATGATCGGTTCAGATATAGCTATAGCTCCCATATATATTGTTCATCCGATTTGTTGTATTTGTTACCTACAGCCGTAATATGCACTCCGTAACAACGATATTCAGGGAAATATATCAAATACAGCTCAGAAATATCTTTGCCAAATTTTATCGAGATCGGTTCAGATTTGGATATAGTTCCCATATATATCTTTATCTGATTTCAAATTAATTTTGCACCAAATGGGCAATATAAGTCCGAATTTAAAAGATACACATGCTTGGGCATATTTAGTCCTTTGAACTTTAAATTATAATTATAATCATAGCGTGTATGATTGAATTCTCCCATAAAAAAACTTTTAATTATTAAGTGGAGCTCAACTAAATTAGCAAAGTGGAGTAGGGTATCATAAAATCGGCCCCGCCCGACTTTAGGACTTTCTTTACTTGTTATTTAATATTTTAATGCTCTTGCGAAATATAAACCAAGTGTAAATCAACAATAAAATTAATTGTTTTAGGGTGTGATGTTTGTGTTTCAAATTATTAGAAGGATTTTCATAAAGTAAGGTGTTTAGATTTGCACAGATTCCAATTTTTATTTCTTAATAACAAAATCGAGCTAAGTCTTTGAGAAAGTTTCATGAAAAATTCTATGATTGACCCTTTGCAAATCATGTTTAGTTTAGTTTTATCAAATGTTGTAGAAAAATTATTTTGAAGCGTTGAAAAAAAATTGTAAGAGGGTAGTGTAAAAATGAGCATTCTATGTAATTTACAATATTCCGAATAAAATTGGTCCTTTAAAAATTAGCATAAGATCCTTTAGACATTTTCTGAAAGAATCCATGAAAAATACAGGAGAAAAAAATCATGCTAGGTTCTTTTCGAAATTGCCCGCATTTGATCGCTAAAAAAAAACTCTGGAAAAATCCACATTTGGTAATTTTGTTTTCTACGATTTTCTGTTTTAAATTTTTTTCGGCCTTCAAGATTTTGTAGAAAGAATCTAAATAAGCTTGTGAAACAAAAACCTAGTGTTTGTTAAAATATAGTATCAAGTACCAAACAAAATTCACGATAGGACATTAAAACATTTTTGGAACTATCCTAATTTGATCATTTTGAAATCCTCAAAAATTTTGTGAAAAAAGGAAAAAATTTCTTAAAAAAATCTATCTTTGAAATTTCTAGAAATAAATGTTTAAAATAATCATAATTTTAAATATTTAATAATTTTAAAAAATCCACGTTTGGTCTATCCATTTTTTAAAAGTCCTAAAAATATCGTAAAAAATATATTTCTGATATGAAAATATTTTTTTTTTTTTTTTTGAAAAAATGACGAAGTTGTGTACTTCAGAAAAAAGGTTGCCAAAAAACCTAGTGTTTGTTAAAATATAGTATGGAGTACCAAACAAAATTCTCGATAGGACATAAAGACATTTTTGGAACTATCCTAATTTGATAATTTTGAAATCCTCAAAAATTCCATATATTGTCCTCTATTTTTTTTTTTTTTTTTTTTTTTTTTTTTTTTGTAAAAAAAAAGAGAAAATTCCTTTAAAAAAATCTATCTTTGAAATTTCTAGAAATAAATGGTTAAGGCAATCATGATTTGTCATTTCAAAAAATTTTAAAAAATCCACGTTTGGTCCATTTGGAAAATTATGGGAAAAAGCAACCTTGCGAAAAATCCTTCCATTTCTTAAATCCTTTTAAGCCCTAAAAAAATCGTTTAAAAAAATCGATTTCTGATATGAAAATTTTTTTCTTTTTTTGGAAAAATGACAAAGTTGTGTACTTCCGAAAAAGGGTTGCCATATTCCATTTACCATCCCATGCTACGATCCTTACAACATTCAGACAATTCTTGAAAAATCCATGGAAATTTCTTTAAATACTCCTTGGAAAAAAAATTACCCTATATCCTTTAAGTCCTTTAGAACATTCTAATAAAAGCTACTTTTTGTCATTAAGAAAACTCTTGGAAAAATTCTCAAAAAAACCTCCACGTTGTATCATTTCGAAAATTATCGGAATACAATACGATATGGGTTTTAAAAAATTCTTGGAATGTCAAGGTATTTATTTTGCAATCGGAAATAATCAAAAAAGAAAAAAATTAGAAAAGTCTATATCAATGAAGTTTTGAGTCATTGAAAGATTTCTCGGAAAATATCCCCATTAGGTCTTTAAGAAGGGTAATTAAAAAAAAAAAAAAAATACTGAAAATAATTGTTGGATAATTTTTCTTGGATCTTTTACAATATTCACAAAAAAAAAAAAAAATAATTTGAAATTCAAAAGCTAAATGTAATAAGTATGGAAATATCGAATTTATGTCATTTACAAAAGTCTCTGAAAAACGGCTACATTAAAAATTCTTATAAAAATACACACTAGGTCCTTTCCGAAATTCTTAGAATTTTCTCGAATAGCTTTCAGAATAATCCTCTATGTCTTTCGGAAAAAATAGTTCATTTAGAAAATTCTTTGAAAATCCACATCCAAGTCCACTCTAGGTTTATTCAATCCAAGGAAAGTTCCTTAAACAATCTCCGAAAAGTACCTATTATGTAATTTTGAAGTTTCTTGAACAAATACACCTTACGTCTTTAAAAAAAAAAATACATGAGAGGTCTTTTAAAAAATCTTAAAAAAAAGTTATTGGCAGTTTAGAAAAAAAAAATTTTGAAAACGATTAAGGAAATTATGAAAAACAAATATGTTAGGCACTTTTATGCAATCCTTGGAAAAATCTGTTTTAGAAAATTGTATGGAAATCCAGGTTAGACACGTTGTTTGTGAAAAGACTTTAATTGCTTTAACAAATGCTCTGGAAATCTACACAGATGCAAGATAAAAATCCATTTAAAATTCCCAGAACAATTCCTTCCTCTTGATAACATTGAAACGATTCATTGGAACAATTTTGAAAACGTCCAGAAATTCTCGGAAGATTCTACGATAAGTTTCTTTATATAATTGCAGAAAAAAAACTTAAAAATACTCTAAAAAGATTTTATCAGCTTCATCAAATTATCAGAAATATTTACGTTGGGATTTTTGAAGTCCACGTTAGGTCCAGACATTTCCACAAGAGAAATTCTCTGAAAAAATTCTGCAAGGATATAAAGAAATTTCTTGAAAAATTGTGATAGATCCTTTACAACGATTTTTAAAATTCTTCGATAAGTTACTTTGAACATTTTTCGTCAAACCAACTTTGAAGAATCCATTAGAAATTCTCGCCAAATTTCTGACAAATACAGACTTTAGGTCCCAATTTAATTATTCGCAAAATTCTAGAAAATATCTACCCATATTTTTATGAAAACAAATCTTTGAAAACTAAATTTTATTATCCAGAAAAAAGGTGCGTTCCATGCTCAATTGAAGATCCCTAAACATTTTGGTATAAATTCAAATTTAATTCCTTATACATTGGAAATAAAACACGGGTGAGCTGTTTAAACCAGTGTTGCCAAAAAGATAAAAGCTTTTTTATACATTATCTACAATTAAATTTTTTTTCTCGGGAAATTCTTAAATAGGCCAAGTTTTACCAAAATTAAAGATGGAAATATTTAGATAAAATATTCCAAAAACTCCAGACCTTTCAAAAACTTTTCAAAGAATATGCATAATAGACCTATTCTACTTTTATCCCAAAGAATACTAAAATCAAGTACTTCCGAAAATCCTTAAAAAATCAAATTAAGTTCCTCTAAATTTATTTATTTTTTAGAAAATTCCTAAGAAATCTAGCTTGAGGCATTTTTGTATTTCTACACATTAAAACATACAAAAAATATTGTTTTATTAAATTTCTAATAAATACTAAATTTTAAAATTTTGCGATATATAATAAGTAGTTTGTTGGTCTACACAAGGGTATGGTTTCTCAGTAAAAATAACAAAGAAAATTAATCCTCTTCTAAATATACATTTTTTATTATTTTTTTTTTAATATTATAAAGAATATATTTTATAAATATCCTGCTACATATGTAAAATTTGTATTTTTGATGGGCCCCTATGCTACTCCAAAATGAAATATGTATTTAAATTGTGGTCTCCTTTTCCTCTTCCTGTCCTCGTTTGTCCTTACCTTTCCTTGAAATCCCTACCCCTTTTACCTCAGCTATTTTAAGCAAATAATTTTCTTTATCTTCTTCAAATTGTGCTTTAATTCCTTTAATTTTATTTCTTTCTCAATTAATATTTGCATTTTATTTTACATGTTTTATTTTCTTCCCCTGTCCTCTTAAACCATCTCCTATCTTATTTCTCTCTCTCTTTTGACACTTCCTCTCCCGTTGTGTTACTTTAACATGTCTATTTATTTGTTGTTATTTTTTTTTCTTTTAATTTCTAAAACAAAGAAACCGTTATATATGTGTTTGCTTCTTTTTTCCTTCCGCTTTTTTTAGGTTACTTTACGCCGTGATCAACAACGTCCTCAAAATATAACTGAACCGACTGAAACAACGCCTGTACGTAATTAACACCAAAAACAAACCACACACTACCTGGCCCCTCTGCTCTCTCTCCGTATTACTCTCTTTCCCCTGCTATCACTCTCTCTGTCTCTTTGACTGTAAATCATTTCACAACTATGTAACAAATGTTTTCCAAAATAAATTCTTTCACACACACACACATCTACTACTCTAACTCACACATACTACTCACTAACTCTGTTGCTAACAACTATCCGTGTTCCAACCACATACCAGTTCTTTTGTCCTTCCACCCATTGTCCTTTGAACTCTTGTAAATATATGTCCGTATTTAATGTAGCCATGTAGGAAACAAGTGTACCTCCCCCGGTAGCTGGTGACGATCGGAGGTGGCCGGTGGAATATTAGCACCCTCCGAATGTCAAAGAAATATCTGAAATAATCATAATCCGGACCAGTTGTAGTTGTGTTTTTTGGGTTATCTTTTCTTGGTGTTGGCTATTAGAGTGTTTTCTCTGATATTCTTGTTGTTGCGTTTCCTTTTTCATCCTTCTCTGTTTCTTCTTCTTAGTTGTGTGTTAAGTGTGCAGTATATCCTTTCTGGTTAACTGTGAATAGAATAGAATTTTATTAATAAATATTTGTTAGAATTAGTTCGGGTAATGGTATTGGTATGTTTTATATGTATTGGTGTGTAATAATATAATATTTTGTTATTTACGAGGTTGGTATGATAATGTTAAAGAAAAATATAAATCATTCTTCTACTCTGGCGAGAAGAAGAAGGTGTATCCTTCTTCTACTCTGGCGAGAAGAAGAAGGTGTACTCTTCTTCTACTCTGGCGGGAAGAAGAAGGTATACTCTCCTTTTACTCTGCCGGGAAGAAGAAGGTGTATCCTTCTTCTACTCTGGCGAGAAAAAGAAGGTGTATCCTTCTTCTACTCTGGCGAGAAGAAGAAGGTGTATCCTTCTTCTACTCTGGCGAGAAGAAGAAGGTGTATTCTTCTTCTACTCTGGCGAGAAGAAGAAGGCGTATCCTTCTTCTACTCTGGCGAGAAGAAGAAGGTGTATCCTTCTTCTACTCTGGCGAGAAGAAGAAGGTGTATCCTTCTTCTACTCTGGCGAGAAGAAGAAGGTGTATCCTTCTTCTACTCTGGCGAGAAGAAGAAGGTGTATCCTTCTTCTACTCTGGCGAGAAGAAGAAGGTGTATCCTTCTTCTACTCTGGCGAGAAGAAGAAGGTGTATCCTTCTTCTACTCTGGCGAGAAGAAGAAGGTGTATCCTTCTTCAACTTTGGCGAGAAGAAGAAGGTGTATCCTTCTTCAACTTTGGCGAGAAGAAGAAGGTGTATCCTTCTTCTACTCTGACCTCCTTCTATTCTGGAAGAACAGAAGAAGGTGACCTCCTTCTATTCTGGAAGAACGGAAGAAGGTGACCTCCTTCTATTCTGGAAGAACGGAAGAAGGTGACCTCCTTTTATTCTGGAAGAACGGAAGAAGGTGACCTCCTTCTATTCTGGAAGAACGGAAGAAGGTGACCTCCTTCTATTCTGGAAGAACGGAAGAAGGTGACCTCCTTCTATTCTGGAAGAACAGAAGAAGGTGACCTCCTTCTATTCTAGAAAAAAGGTGACCTCTTTCTATTCTGGTGGCCTCCCTCTGCTTCCGTTCTACAGAAGAGGGCCCCCTGCTTCCGTTCTACAGAAGAGGGCCCCCCTGCTTCCGTTCTACAGAAGAGGCCCCCCCTGTTTCCGTTCTACAGAAGAGGGCCCCCTGCTTCCGTTCTACAGAAGAGGGCCCCCTGCATCCGTTCTACAGAAGAGGGCCCCCTGCTTCCGTTCTACAGAAGAGGGTCTCCCTGCTTCTGTTCTGCAGAAGAGGGTCTCCCTGCTTCAGTTCTGCAGAAGAGGGTCCCCCTGCTTTTGTTCTACAGAAGAAGGTCGCCTCCTTCTGTTCTACAGAAGAAAGTCGTTTCCCTCTGATCGACAGACGGTATCTTCCTTCTTTTATCGGAGAAGGTCCTCTCCTTCTGTTATATTCAAGAATGTTTCGTCCGTCATATCCTTCTCATACCACCCTCGTAGCGCCTATAGTTTTCCCCTAAGGAATTTAGATAAGATTCCATTCTATTACTAGTTTTTTTTTTAACTGGCCATAACACGATGTTCCTCCAATCGTACATATCTCTCGTAATGTGTTACTAATTAACCTAAAACCTATTGCTGTTGTTGGTGTAGCTGTTGTCTCCGACTAACAGTTGGTGGTGATGGCATTCCAATGGTGTTGGCTGACTGGCTGGCGGTCTGGTAGCTGCTGGTTGGTTGTCTTTAATGTTTATTGTTTGTGTTTAATTGTGAGATTGTGCGTTTTATCGGGTGTTGGTTGTCCAATGTGTGTGTGTGTGTGAGTGTGTATCTATGTATGTGTGTTAGTAATGTCACATATGTGTAGGAACATTGAATGTGATTGTTTTTTATTCTTCCTTTTGGCCATTAGTGACACAAAACAACAATTGTCTAGCAGAATATTATAACTGTATCTCTCTCTGTGTGTGTGTAAATGTGTTTGTAGGGAAGATTTTATATAAATGTGTCTGTGTGTGTGTGCATTATATGCTCCTGGCATTTATGGCTACAACATTTCCATGAATTGTTGTCAACCATTGTTCGTTCCACTTAATGGTGTTGGGGTTTTAAGTATTTTTTTACCATTTTTTGTTTCAGATTTAACTTTTTTCTCTCTTTTTGTTATGGTTTTTATATAAAAATGTGCACACACACACACACGTACACACATTGAGAGAACGAGTTAAAAGTGCTTACAGCCATTTGTTGGTACTTTAAAAAACATTCACTTTTTATTCGTTGTATTATTATGAAATAGAAACAACAGCAGCAAAAATAATAACCCATTTAAATTATAACAATTACATTTTAATTAGTTACACTTGTTTTTGGAAGCCATTTAATTAGCTCCTAAGGGGTGGTGTATAGCAATGACGTTTTGGTTTCCTGGTAATTAAATGTTAAACAGCTGAGTGTGTGTTTTTTATTTTGTTTTCAAATTATGATAAAACTAGATTTAAAATTTCATAAACGGTAAGTGGTGAGTGTAAATGTTAAGTGATGAGAAAAATAATTATTTTTGAGAGGTAGGTTACGAGGAGCGTATGAGTGTTGACAACAATCATACGCAGATAAGCACCTTATGTTTTAAGATATTAGGAAAACCTATTATAATATTATGCACTTTAAAAATAACAAATTCACCAGAGTTTTTATAAATGTGATGCCTGAATAATAAATGTAATAAGGTCAGTTGAGCGATACGTCTAAAGGGCTTGGTGACACCTGACCAATTTGGTTGTCTGTTGATTTGTTACAAATACGAAGCGTCCTCATTTATTTGAAGTAACTTGATTTTTATAACGGGTATTTCTAACATGGTTACTGCAAATTCATTTTTCGTGGGGAAAATTCCCTTTTGACCGGTTTATCGATTCCAAAGTTCGGATACAAAATCCGGCTTTAATCCGACTTCACTGAAACCATTTTTTCCAAATATAAAAAATATTATTATATGATATGTTATTTTAACCGGTTCGGTAGTAATACAAGAAAGTTGGTATTTTTGTACCCTCAAGAAGTCAAAAATCGGTCCAATTTAGTCAACATTCCTGCACTTCTAAAATGTGGCCATATGTGTCGACATCTCTTATGTCTCCCATCAAATGTTTGATATTTGAATAGGTATTTCTATAAGTTTTTAAATGTAAATGTAAAAATTGTAAAAATCGGTTAAATGGAACCGAATAAAATTCAAAGCCGAATACATAATAGAGGGTCGTCCTTCTGCTATACAGAAGAGAGGAATCTTCTTCTGCTTTACAGAAGAGAGGAATCTTCTTCTGTTATACAGTAGAGAGGAACCTTCTTCTGCTATACAGAAGAGAGGGTCGTCCTTCTGCTATACAAAAGAGAGGGTCGTCCATCTGATATATTGAAGAGAGGGTCGTTCTTCTGCTATATTGAAGAGATAATCGTCGTTCTGCTATACAGAAGTGAGGGTTGTTCTTCTGCTATACAGAAGAGAGGGTCGATCTTGTGTTATACAGAAGAGAGAATCGTCCATCTGCTCTACAGAAGAGATGATTGTTTTTCTGTCAAACAGAAGAGTGAGTTCTACTTTTGCTATGAAGAAGAGTGTCTACTCCTTTTGCTCAGAAGAAAAGGATCTGCTCCTTTCGCCTAGCAAAGAGGGTCTTCTACTTATTTTTATCCCTTTCTGTATAATAATATGTCCCAAAGGAATTGTTTCAATTAATAGTTGGGGTTTTTACAGGTCGTATCACCAAGTTGTAATTGGCCTCTTTAATACAAACTTAGGCGAGAGATGCAATAAAGGTCCCCTTACATGAATTCGATCATATACTTTTATTTTTACTAATAAAGGACGAATTTTCCAACTGACGAAGCTACAACATGGAAACTGTGACTTTTTCGAGCATAAAGCTTCCTTGTAGGAAACTTTGAATTGAAGACCCTGATTTCGTATAATCCAGATTTAGATAATGGCCTCAGGGTATCTGATTTTTTGAACATTCAACTAAATTTTCTAAAATAATTTTTGCAGAATATTTTCAATATGGGCCACAGAGTTGACCAAAATATCATCAGACTTTGGGACCTTTAACAATTCTACCAACATTTTTAATTTTAAAGATAGTTACCAACTAATTTATATATTTATATATAGGACCATATTTACCAATGTTATTTAACTGTTTAATCTTCAGAAAAAATTCTAACAATTTAGACAAATGTGCGTATGATTAATGCCAATACTAATACGCAACCTCAATGATCTCATTAGAAGTATTATAATATTGGTTGAAAAATGCTACTCAGGACAATAATCCAATCCTTAAAATAAAAATTCTAACATCGTTCATTTTTAGGAAGGCATTACGATCCTAAACTGATCTTTTTTTTTTTAAATTATATAAATTTCAAACTTTATAGTATCTCAAAATCAAAATTAACAACTGCCTTGAGGATAGAGAAATTACCAATTTTTCCTCTTTACACCCTCAGCCATATGGCGAGAGAGAGTACATCATTTGATATGGCCAAAACGTGCCTCATCGAAATAGCGGTTTTAGGCCCTAGGTCTCTTTGGTCTAGGTCTTCGTTTCAGGACATTTGGAGTCCATCTAGCGATGTCCGTCCGTCTTTCTGGCTGGTGCGCACGATAACTTGGTACATCGTAATATTATTAGAAAACTTAGATCGAGTTCGGAGACGGTTACTATTGACTCACTCCCAAGGTCTGGTTTGAAGATGGAATATGGTTCGAAATTGGAATCGGTCCACTCCTTTTGGTACCTCCCCCACAAAAGTTTACAATTTTGAAAACCCACGATGCTCATAAAACGTAAAATTACCATCCGATTCCATTCAGACCTCGTGCATCTCAATATTTTTATCAACACAAGATCTTTTATAAAGATGGTCGAGATCGGACCATTCCTTCTGGTACCTCCCCTACAAAGGTCCAAAGTGTGAAATAAGTGTGTCAATTTTGGTGGAAATCAGTTCAGATGTAACTATAGCTCTCATATATATTTTTTAATCCGACTTGTTATTCTTGTCCTCCACAGCCGTTATATGAACTCCGTAATAATGATATTGGGGAAAATACATCAAATAAAGCTCAGAAATACCTTTTTTAAATTATGTATATATATTTACCCGTTTTCAAGATTATTAAGCACCAAATGGTTAATTTAAGTTCGAATTGAATGGATTTTAGAACATACGAACGATTTCAGCCTGAATGAAAGTGTATTATATTTGGTGAAAATCCGTTAAGATATGGGTATATATATTTTTCATATGTACCCGTAAAATGCTCACCGCAACAACGATATTTTGCGCCAGCTATCAGATGCTAAATTTCACAGAAGTTCAGATTTGGATATAGTTCCCATATATATTTACATTCGATGTAACGTTCATTGGGCCCAAAATGTGTAATATCACCTAAAATAAGATGGATTTTGATGGATGTAGGTTGAAACAAAAATACCTCCTCAAATTTAGTAGAAATCGATTAACATGTACAAAGTGGTGTAGGGTATCATAAAATCGGCCCCACCCGACCTTAACCGTTTTAACCGAATTTACTTTTTCACAAAATTATAATTTTATAGATTTCAGTGCCTAGGGGTCCTACCATTAGAGGCATGTTTTCAGTACTTCCCGAAAAAAATCCTTGTAAAAATCAAGGAAAAAGTAAAACTCGTCACGGAAACAGATTTCTGCTTTGCTCTTTACCAGGCATTTGGTTATTGAAATCCTCTAAAAAATAAAAAAAAAGATTTGCCAAACAAAGTGTTCTCAGCTTCACTGTTTATTCAAATTTTTGAACAAATTTGAGAACTTTTTAATGTTTAATTTGAACCTGAAAATCCGCCAGCAAAATTCAACACTCCACTAACCGTTTATGAAATTTTATAAAAAATATTGATGTTTAATATATAGAAAATTACAAATATTATGGAATTTTATTTAAGCAAAACATACATAGATTATAAAATATCAATTTATAGGTAGTAGGAGGTTACACTGAGTATGCGATGTCATTAAAAGAAATACGTCTAGTTTTAGATACTTCTTCTAGCCATAGTCAATATTTTAAGTATTTATTTTTGTGCTAATTGTTAACATTTCGTTTTGTCCTTTAATTTAAAATTCGTTTTGTTCCTTAGTCATATATTTATAATTTCTTTACTCTTAATTTTAATTTCACTCATTTTGTAATTTTGTTCCTTATTTTATTTCTAATGTCCAAGTCTAACAACGTAGTTGTCCGTCCCCTATTAATTTTTACCATTGATTAAGAAAATTCATTAAAAAAATAATGCTTTCTAATACCAAACGATTCTTTTGTGCAACATTTTTCTTTGTATTCATCCATTCCTCTTTCTCTCTTTCCATTTCCATTCATTCTTTAGTTAATGCGTGCGGCTACACGTAAACCGGCCAATGATACGAACAGTTCAACTGTTGCTATTGGCGGCGGAGCCATTGGCCAAACGTCACCCAATGACATACCGCTGAGCAGTATGGAAACAAATCGTCCCCACAATCGCGAAGAGGAATACAAATCGGGAATATTGGATCAAATTGCCTATGGCATAACCGGCGTTGGTGGTTTTATCTATCAAAATAGTTATATATTCACCAATGTTCTGATGATGGTAAGTATGAAAGGTTTTATTTGTTTTTTTTATTTTCAGAGTTTTTAGAAGCATTTTTACGAATCTTCAGCAGAAAGAAAACCTCTTAAGGGTCTTCTATGAGAAGTAGTTGCTTCACAAGGCCTTTACAAACTATACGACTATAACCGGGATACCTTTTATAGGACTATTATAGCCTTTATAGAATTTTTATAGGGATTTTTTAGGTCTCCGATGATCAGAGAACCTTTTACGGGTCTTCTATGGCCCGAGAATTTTTCACAGGTCCTCCATGGCTTGAAGACTTTTTTCTAATCTGCAGTGGCTATGTATTCTATAAAGGTATTCTATGCCCAGATGACATTTACATGTCATCCATGTGCAGAAAACCTCTAACAGGTCATCTGAGGTCAGAAGACCTTCCACAGATCTTCTACGGCCAGAAAACCTTTCACAGACCTTTTATGGCCAAAAAACTTTCCACTAGTCTTCTATGACCAGAAGACCGTCCATAGGTTTTCCTCAAAAGGCCTCTTACAGGTCTTTTATGTCCCAAAGGCCTTCCACCATTGTATGGCCATAATGTCATAGAAAAAAAAAATATGCCCGAAGACCTTCCACAAGTATTATGGGTTCAGAAAAGCTTACTTTGAGATGAGATCTGGCCAGATTATCTCTGAGCTAAAGTTCTCTTAGGACGATTATCTCTGCGTTAAGGTTCTGGCACCCAGAAGGCCTTTTACAGGTATTTTATGTTCAGATTGTCTTCTATAGTCTGCAGTCCTTTCACAGGCCTTCTACAGACAGTTGAATGGCCGTTGAGAAACATTATCTCCGAAATAAAATCCGGTTCATTAACTCCGAGATAAGGTCCAGTGGGAGCGATTGCCTTGATATAAAGGCATGCCAGGACCATTTTTTCTAAGATAAGGTTCGACCTGTATCATCCCTGAGGTAAAGTTCTCCCAGGACAATTATCTCTGAGAAAAGTTCCTGCCAGGACCATTGCCTATAACATTAGATCTATAAATGATATATATCTCTGAGATAAGATACGGTAAGGACCCTTAACTCTCATAAAATTTCCGATCAGGACTAATATCTCCGAGACAAGATCCTGCCAGGGCCATTATATCAGAGATAAGATCCGTTCGGAGTCGTTATCTCTAACTTTATCATTGGGAAAAGGTCCGATTAGGGTCATTACCTCAGAGATAAGGGCTGGTTAGCACCATTACCAAAAATACGGCCAGAATTAGTTTCTCTGAGACCAGGTCGGCCCATATAATAATCTCTAAGATAAGGTTCGATCAGGACAATTTCCACCAAGGTAATGGTTGGTTAAAACAATGGCGTCTGAGAAAAAGTCGTGGAACTTTGCCTGTGATATAAGATCCGCGTCGGAACCATTGTCCCTTAGATAAGTTCCGGATTTGGCCAGGCCTTTTTTTGCCTAAAATCGTTTTCAGCTACCCTATGAGAGAAACTCTCCCTCTCTTTAGCTTCTTAATTTGTCTTCCTTCTTTTTCTTACCTTCTGTTCTCTCTTTTCAGGCCTGGTCAATCATCTACCACAGTTGGCTGACATTTGTGCTGCTGCTGTGGGCCAATGTTCTCTGGATGATACCGAATCAGCGCAAGGCTATGATGCGTTCGAGTCTTTTTATTGTAATTTATGCGGAGTTGTTGTTAATAGCCCAATATATTTATGGCATGGATTTGACAAATGACGAATTGCCCTCCAAAATTAAGGTAAGCACTCACACTATATCAAAAACTCCCTCTCATAAGTGATTTTTAAAATTTAATCTCTTTTTCTTTAATTGGCAGATAACCGGCATTAATTTACAACAAATCGGTTTTGAACGTCCCAAAGACAACGACATGCAGCCCTGTGTTCCGCTGATAGTGAAAACCTCATTCCTGTTGATGTTCTGGGTGACAATGCGTCAGTTCTTCAAAGAGAAAACGGACAAACGTCGTGACAGCACCCTGGCAGATATGTTTGCACCGTTGCATTTATCGGTACGCTCATCGGCGCTCGATGACGATGATGCTGATGGTGGGGCCGATGCCAAGAAAACCTCAAAGTTCCTAAAGAAAATTGGCACCGTAATTAAGAATCTCTTGGTACGCCTATGGATTTGGCTCTTGATTCTGGTCATTTTCCTGTGCGCCATGACAGGTGATAAAATGACTGGGTTCCGTATCTGTTATATGGCCCTGTTCCTGTTCTTCTTATTGGTATTCCAATCATCGTCCAAAGCCTGGGTAAAACTGATGTATGGTTTCTGGTTGTTCCTAATCTTCTACGCCATGTCCATATTGATTCTGATCTATACCTATCAGTTTGATAAGTTCGATCAGTATTGGAATGATTATTTGAATATATCCAAGACTTTGTGAGTATTAAGACTAACCCTACTCCCCCAACTTCTTTAAATTACTTTTAACCATTAATTTCCAGACAAACCGACATTGGTCTGGAACGCTACAAGACCAAAGATTTACTCCTGCATTTCATTTCGCCCACCATCATTGTCATTCTAACCGTGATCCAGGTTCACTATTTCCATAAACGTTTTATTGCCTCGATGAATCAAACACCAGTGGTGGAGAAACCCGGTCCCGATCAACAGCAACGGCAGCGCACAAAAAGCGGCTCCCGCCCAGCCGATTATGAAATGAAAGATTTCACCGAATCTGCCGGAGAGTTGGTGCGTTTGTTTTTGAAACGTTCCCGCCAGAAGGCCGAAAAGTTCCTAAAACAATTCAAGGGTGTTTTCTGGAGTATTTTGGAATTGCATTGGATTAAAGTGGTCTATATAACGGCATTTGTGTGCGCCGTCAGTGAGGTAATGGCAAAAAAACAAAAAAAAAAAAAAACGCAACATCGACAAGAACAACGTTTTATGGAAGTTTTAAACAAAACTCAGGAGTAGTTAAACTTGAGTTTGAGGACTTTTGTAAAATCGTGACCCAAAATCGGGTTTTACAAGTGTCTTGTCTTTTTACTAACAACAAAAAAAGAAATGTGTTCAAAATGTTTTGAAAATAATAGGTAATTTTCTTTGTCAATCAGATATTTCCCGACATGTTTTCCACTTTGGACGATTTATTCTGGTCCATCAGGCCTACTACCCCCCAGTATAAGTCGGTAATTATCTTTGAGAAGCGTTCCGCTCCTCTGCCATTAAGAATCTTTGAAAAAATTCCGATAAGGACTATTGCCTTAGAAAGAAATTCCAGTAGGAGCCATTGTTTCCTTTTTCGTATCATTTTCTTAGAAAATATTTTCTCTCGACTAAAGTCCGACAAGGACATGTTTTTTTTACAGATAAGGTCCAGTCTGGAACTTATATCGGAAATAAGGTCAGATCACGGTCATTACTTTTTGAGAAAAGGTCTGGTCTAGTCCAGTATCTCTGAAATAAGATCCAATCAGGATCATTTTCTCATACAGAAAATGATATTAAAGCCATTTTTTTCTCTGATAATATCAGGTTCCGGCTATTTTCTCTCAGTCAGTCGGTACCTTAAAAAAATAGGTCTCAGTTAGTATTTTTCCTTCACGAAAATTTTGTCCGAAATAAAGTTAGGTCTTTGAGCCTACGCCATTACCTCCAAGATAAGTACCGGTCTTTGTCATTATCTTTAAGATAAGTTCAAATAGGGGTCATTATCTCTAAGGAAAAGTCTAATTAGGGCCATTAACACTAAAATAAGTTCCAATTTGAAATTTCAACTCTAAAATAAGGATATATCAGAACCATTACGTTTTACATACAATTAGATCAGACTTTTTTTCTTCCAGACAAGGTTTAGTTAGGAGCTTTTCTTTTGAGCTAAGGTCCGGTCAAAACCATTAGGACCAAGATAAGTTCAATATAAGATCCAATCAGGGCTTCTTTCTCTGTAAGAAGATCTGTTCAGATTCATTTTCTTCGAGACAAGATTCTGTCAGTCTGTGTACAGGCCTTAGGGCCTGTTCGGGTCGTCTTGTTGCATTTTTATTCTTTGAGACAAAATTCATTTTTAGAGCCAATGACCTCCTTTAAAGTATCAATTTGGGAGCATTTTCTCTAAAATAAGCTTCGGCCATGAATTTTTACTGAGATAACACCCAGGTAAGCCCTTACATCTATGGGACATACCACATATGTAATGTATGTACTTGAAAAAAAATTGTCCGAAATAGAGTTGGTTTTTTTTTTTTTTTTTTTTTTTTTTTTTTTGAGATTAGATCCAATCTGCACCTCTCGGTGATAAGGCCCAGTTATTACCAATATCTCTGAGTCTATGCCATTATCTCCGGTCTATGATCAGCCTATGTTACATCTCTAAAATAAGGTCAGATAGGGGTCATTGTCTCTGAGATAAAGTTCGATTAAGGTCAAAAAATTAATCTCAACTCTAAAACAAGTTCAAATAGGAATCATTGTCTCGGAGAAAAAGTCCGATTAGTGTCATTAGCTCTAAAATTAATTTCAATTTGGACCATCAAGTCTAAAATAAGGACAGATCAGGACCATTTCGTTTTACATACAATTTGATGAGACTTTTTTTTCTTCCTTACAAGGTTCTGTTAGGTTTGAGGTAAAGTATTTTAAGGATCATTATATTTGTAATAAGACAATTATTACTGAGTACCATTTTCGCTTACAATCATCGGGGTCCTTGTCTCTGAATTAAAGTCCGGGCACTACCAAAATTAAAGTCCGACCCTGAGACAAAAAAAAAACTAAAACCATTTTCCTGCTGTAAGGTAAAGTGAGGACCTCTTGCTCTGAGATAAGTCTATTTAAGGCTAAATTTCTGTAAGAAAAAATTAGCTGGGAGCCATATTTCTTCGGGATCCTGTTAAAAAAGTTTTCTCTCAGATAACGTCCTTCTTTAAGATAAGGTCCATAGTCTAAGTAGGACCAATTTCCCTGAAACAAAGGCGGCGAGGACATTTGGCTCTGATGTAAGATCCTTCGTAGAAAAAGTTAGCAGAGTGCCAGTTTTCGGATCTAGCTGAGTTAAAGTCCACATTGTTTTCTCTGAAAGATCAGTTTGGTCCCGTCTTGATCAGTTTTTTTAAATCAGGAAAATGTTTTCTGGGAACATGATCCGATCAGCTTTACAACCTTGATGATAAGATCTATCAATTTCTTTGAGACTAGGTCCATTACTATTTTATCGGGACAATTGTCTTCAAATAATAGTTCGACCCAGGGTCACTTTTTCTGAGACAAAGTCAAGAATTATTCTGTGGGTTAGAGTCTGGTGAGGACCACTTGATCTGAGATGAGATCATTTTTCGGAGAAAATTAAGTCTACTACCGTTTTTTCTTCAAAATAAAATCGGATCCAAATAATCTTCAGCTGAGTTAAGAGCTAATGTTAGCCAAAATGATTTTCTCTGAGATAAAGACTTTTTAGAATAATTTTCTTTGAATTAAGGTCCTTGTAAATATATTTTTCTCAAAACCAAGTCTCATCTGGCCCATCTTTTCTGGCCTGACCAAATCTGGAAAATGTTATCTTAGATCAAAGTCCGGCCAAGTCTATAACTTTGATTGCAAGATCTTTGTAGGTCCAAATTTTGATATAAGGTCTCCTAATAACCATAATCTCTTAAACAAGATCAAGCTTTTGATATATAGTAGGTTGAGGTTGATGATTATTAAAACATAGTCCTGAATTAAGGTTCACCTATATTGAAGCGCAATTTTCTTCGAGAAATAATAGTTGAGTGTAATTTTTTCTTCGGAATAAAATCGGATTTACGCTAATAGCTTTGATTTTTCCTCGCAGATAAGGCACCTATCGTATTATTATCATTGAGATCAGGTCCATATAAATATTTTTTGCTCGAAGACAGATTTTACCACAAACATTTTTTCTGTTTTTAGCTGATCCAACTTTGAAAATGTTCTCTGAGACAAGATTCAACCTGTACAGTTTTCTCTAAATTTATTTCAGACAATTTGGCCCTCCCCTAAACCCTTTCTCGAAAATGTTTTCTGTTATAAGCTCCAGTTTTTTAAAATTTTCTTTGAGAAAATGTCGTACTATTAGAAATTTTTGAACATTAAACCAAAGAATCGAACATTTTGAGCACATTTCTCTTGACAATATATCCCCTATACTCTCCCACTCATTTACTCATAAATATATGTATTCGTATCTCTCTCTCTCTTTCCCATTTACTTGATCACATCTCTAGGTCTCCCTACTCCATGTACCGTTCATTGTTCTGTGCGTTATTGGCGTCATCTCCAATGTACGCATGCGCATATTTTTCAGTCGTGTCATCTCGCTGGTTGTCACTCTCATTGTGCTCTCAAAAATGATCTATCAAATTGCCTATTTGGATCATACGAAATATAATGCCGAGTGTACAGAAAATGGCCAAACGAAAATTGTCGGCAATAATGCCGAATGGTTTGGCCTATTCAAAGCGAATTCCGAAACAGGCCTAATGGGTCTGCTGAAAAAATACATTATTTATATGGTCATAGCAACATTGCATGCTGTCATCTCATTGCGTCAATATCAAATGCGCCGTCTCAAGGGTACACAAAATGATCCCTTGCCTAAAGTACCCTTCCCCGAGGTAACCCGTGAAGATGCCGAAAAGAAATTGGAGAGTATGATTAAATATTTACTCAATTATGGTTTTTATAAATTCGGTTATGAGATTTGTATGATTGCCTTGGTCTCGACCATAACCTATCGTCAAGATATTGTGGCGGTTGCCTATGCTGTGTGGTTGGTGTTGTTGCTGATATTCAAGAGGAAAAAGATTGCCCATTTCTGGGGTATTTTCCAAATCTTCATATTGATTTCGATTATTGTGCAGTATATTGTTTTGGTCCAATTGCCACCCACGATGTGTACGAGTAAGTAAAGCAAATTAATGAATAAAAAGTGAGGTTATGGTCGAATTTGTAAATTTTTAAATAGAATAAGTAAAACTTGGTCCCGATAAAATCTTTTTACAGGATTTTCAAACGTTTTTATATAAAAAGAAAACAAAATAATAATAAAAAATTGTAATTTTTAAAAATTTAAAAAAATATCAAAAAAAATATTTTCGTCCATAACCTCACTTTGCAAATACTTGTTGTTTTTCTTTCTTAGGCTACTCAAATCCTTTTCGTTGCCTTTTCCAAATATTAATTAAATATCTCTCTTCGTTTTTCCCAGAATACATTTGGGAAGGCTCCCCCTTCTCGGACTCCATACAACGCTGGGCTATGCTACCGGGTCACCTGAAATACGATCACACCAAAAAGTTAATATTCGATTTTATATTACTGCTCTTGGTGAATCGCCAGAAACGTGTCTTCTCCATTGAAAATATACCCAACTTCCCGGGCGGCAGCAATCAATCCGTGGTCAAGGACATTGCCAATTTGGGCAAAGTAGAATTCGTTAATCCCACTCATGATTTCCTCTCACACATGCGCAACTATTTGGATATTTTCAAGCATGCCATCTTGTGTGGCTTCTATTGGGTAACTTTAGCTGTGGTGTTTTTGGCTGGTACCAGCATAGCAGACTTTTTGGCTTTGGGCTATCTGATTGGGGCCTTCTTCTTTTTGTGGGAGGGCTCTGATTTCTATTTGCGACCAATTAAATCGATAATTGGTCTATGGAAAATCCTAATAGCCTATAATGTAGCCAATATTGTGATAAAGACCTGCTTGCAAATGGCTGGTTGTATGTTCATGGAAACCTTGGTGACGAACTGTTGTTGGCTTGTCCACATGTTGGGCATCAATTGTGCCAGCAATGGTCCGCCAGCGGTTGATGTCGACGATGATAACGACACTGACTGCCCTGCCACCACAGTACAAGTTGTCCTGCTATGGGATTCGATATGTTTTGCCTTCCTGATATTCCAATTGAGAATATTCAAATCACATTATTTCTGTCACATCATCACCGATACGAGGGCGAATAATATTTTGGCTTCGAGGTGAGATTTTAATGTTTTTTAATTGTTAATTTTGAGCAAAATCGTTAATTTCATAATTTTCTTCCACAGAGGCGCCGAAATCATTGAACACTTGCGCCAGAAACAAATCGAAAAACGCCAGGAATACGAAGAGGAGGTATTGCACAAAATCAAACGTAAAATGGAAAAGATCCGTGCCACGCAGCAGAAAATGCTTAGACCTTTAGAAAAACCCACACATTTTGATGGTAAGTTGGAAGTACTTTATATTTTTGTCGAGTTGATGATTTGAAGACTCCAGAAGGAAACTGAGTATGAATCCCGACGATGTTTTTTATTATTTCTTCTGTATGAACTTTTGAAATGTCTACGGTTTTAAAAAAAGGTGTAATTATTATACGTATCATAGAAATCCCGGAGTATATTTGTATGATGTAAAAGAAAACATGAAGTGAATTTCAGAACACAAATTTGAATGGTATTTGAAAAAGAATAATTGATTTTATCATGATATAGTATTTAATTTGCGAAGTGCGAAATGTCCATATTTATATTTAATGCGATATTTTCAAAGGCCTAATAATGTGAAAACTTTTCAAACTGAATCTACGACTCCGTTTTAGTAAAAGAGATACATTTATCTACAGATGTTTAAGTAAAAAATAGCACTAACGGTAGATACGTTTTTCATCCCCAACCGAGTCCCGAAAATATAAAAATGGCTTAACAAACTTCCCATTGTTTATCTCCTCATGGGTATATCTTTAACCTTTGAATTGGGCTTGAAATCCAATTTAAATTGGTTTTGAAATCCAATCTCTCCCCTACTAATCCCCCAAGCAATCATAGTTATGACTTATCGGCATAAATCTGATCGTAGTGCAAAGCACGACAAGTGAAGTATGGCATCGATACCACGCCAAATCAAGGAAATTACATTCTACTCCATAAAATCGAACAGTTTTCATAAGTGAATTGGAAAATGTTTAGTGGTCTATGATAGTATTGAAAAACAGTGAAAAACAGTTGTTGGACCTCTGAAACATGATATTTATTATTTTTTTAAGTTATTATAAACTTTATCTAGGAATTGGTGAAGTAGCACTATTCTTTATTTTCAGAGATAATGTCTAATCAGGACCTTGTTTTAGTTGAAAATCCCTTCTAGGAAAATATTCTTTGTTTTCTTGTCAGTACCAATATATCTGAAATATATCCAGTCAGCACCATTAACTTTGAGAAAATGACACTGTACCTGAGATATGGTACTACCAAGGCCAAATTTTGGATGATTTAACACCTCCAGGACCATTTTTTTTTTTTTAATATTTTATCTTGTCATGAACATTATCTTTGTGATATAGTCAGGTCAGAGCCATTATCTCTAAAATAAAGGTCGTTCAGGACCGGTATCTTTAATATAAGCTCTGGTCAGGAGCATTATCTGTGAATATCTGGTCTATCATGATTATTTTCCGTCGCAAAAGCTGCGGCCAGATCTCCTTTTCTACTGGTTGAATATAAAGAGGAGCAAATCAAATTTTTTCCCAACAATGCATCCTGCCTTGGCTTATTGGATACAGTCAGCATATTCCTTTTCGGCCAGGACCATTAACCATGACCAATTTCTTGACGATAAATCCCTCCTGGACCATTTTCTTTAATATTAAATATTGTCATCATCATTATTTGTGTCATCAAGACAGGTCGGAACCATTATCTCGTTTATATAATATAAGCTCCGGCCAGAGCATTATCTATGAACATCCAATCTATCAGCATGATTTTCTGTCAACCAGTCAAATCTTCTCCCAATAATACATCCTGCCTTGGCTTATTGGCAACAGTCAGTATTTTCCTTTCTTATGGGGTTGCATGCTGGCTAAGTACGATTTAACACCTATCGAAAATGGCCCACGTCCCTGATATAAGGAAATATGAGCTGTGAGGCCCCATAGAAAATCAGGCCTTCTCCCTTGGCATAGACCATGTTGACTGCTCTTTTCTACTCAAAAAGACCGAAAATTTCGTGCTTTGATTTAATATCGCCTTGTTAGATGCGAATTTCTTACCTCACACACAGGTTTTAATCCACATGAGGAGATTGAGACCTTACCGGTGCGACAGCATAATAAAATGCTGCCAATGTAATACCTGTTTGGATGTTATAATATGCAACGTTTCGTTCACGCTACGACCTTCGTGATCTGATGGCTTCCTTCTTGAAATTGTATTTAGAAGCAGAAAAATCAGAACGAACACAGCAATATGAGCTGCTACAACAATAGCAACCCACTGGTTTTAACATTGGAATTGATAATTCGTGGAAATGCAGTTCATACCTCCCGACTTACCTTTTCGCTTCCATAGTTAATTCTGATTCTGGAAATGCACTCACTTCCTATATCTGTTCTGGATGAATCTACGTCATTAAGGGGAGTGTTGTGGCTTCTTAAGTTCTTTTGCAATCAAATCAAATTGGCACAAGACGATTTGATCAGTCGAAGCGATGATAGAAGTATAATTTTCACAACTTATCTGGAGAGTGAAATTTTCCGGTGCTGCTATATTAACTATACGACCGTTTTCTTCGCATGCAAAGAAGCCATATTCAATTGACTCATATTCCAAAAGGATTTTTTCCTGCTATCTTTCCTAGAATATTTTCAATGTAATATTCTAAGACATATTAAAGGATTATTAAACAAATTACAGCTTTTTCTTATGGTCTTGAAATTATTATTTCGTTTAGTTATTTTTAACTTAAAAGTGAGGTTATGTTAATTTATATATATTAAATGATAATTAGAAGTGAAAAAATTTCAATAATTTTCAATAAAATTGAAAACAAATGAATTAGGCTTTAGAAGTACGGCGGATTATTTGATGCACACCAGCAGTTCTCAATCGTGTAATGATGGTTCGGGCTATCATACACCGAGTGGTGAAAAATACCAAAATAATAAAAAGGAGACCCATTGTAGTAGCGCAAGTAGTAGCAGAAACAGCAGTCGCAGTAATAGTATCTCCGATAATGAATTTGATCTGCAATTTTCTCACGAATATGAAGAAATTGGAGTGGAACGCCCCAATATCAATAATACTTACACGGTGTTGCCACAAATCGAAATTGAAGGAATGACACCACAGGTATTTACAGAATTCTAAACTGGAGAATAAATTTCTTTAATTCCATTTTTGTAAATATCTGGAACTAAAGCCCCCTACACCCTCATCGGAGGTGATGACAATGCCATTGGATGGTTATTTGGAGGCACCCAGACTATCTTGCTACTCACAAACCCATTCAGATTTTTCAAGGCCGAAATATTCGCGCAACAATTCGGAGGATGGTTCGAGTGATGTTTTCATCACCACGACGGTAGTGTTTTGTTTTCTCTCCAAAGGCAATTGTTTGGGATTTTGAGATAAAATGGTTTTTCATAATTTATTTTAGAATCCCAAACCCAGACCCTCACCCATTCTATTATCCGTCAAAACATTACAAGATGATCTAAACAAGAGTGCAGCCAGTTCAATGATATCGTCGAATTTTACACGGGAAACAAGTTCTTCGTTGAGACGTAATTCTTCCATTAGACGTCGTCAGTCTTCGGTAAATGCGGTATCATGGAATGACAATGTATCCATACAACAACCCTCTACAAATTCTCCACCTTCCAAGAGGACAGCCGATGCGGAAGCGGAACAAGTTACCATGCGTCGCCAACGTCTGCTCCATCGCCGGCATCAAAGTGTTGGCAATGCCAAATATGAAATACGTGGAGATGAGCAAAGTTCCCAAAAGGCTTCGAATCGTCGACGATCCAGCTCGCTGTGGTGGGCCCAAGAGGAGGCGATCCGCCGAAATGCCCAACGACCCTATAGCTGGGGCCCAGCTGGTATGGATGTTTTTGCCACCGACTCTTCCTTGATGTGTAATTCATCGGCTGTTTACCAATGTGATCTGCGCTTGCTGCATGGACAATGTATACACACTTTCTGGATTGGTTTTTTTCTACTTCTTCACCCACTCTTCTTCTTCTCCTTCTTTCGAATATGAAATTTTGTTTATTTTTGTCTTGGCAAAAAATGAAAATGATTGTACAAAGGAAAATAAAAAAACCATTCTTTTTGGGATCAAAAGAACTTGGACACTTAGTGATTTTCTTTCTCTGTAAATAACACCGTTTTGAAATCTTTTTTAGATTCTTATAAGATATTAGAAAGCGATACTTTAAAATTTGTTTATGGAAGGTATTGGGAAAAATTCTCTTACACCCAAACAATTTAAGAACCCATCGTCTAAACATAGCAAAGGATTTGATTGAGGGTTCTTAAGTTGTTGGGTGTAGTTATGAAACTTTTCAATATTTTCCATTAAATAACACAAATCCATACAAAAAATTATGGAAAATATCGCCAAAGGTAGTCTAAAACCAGACTGTGTATAAAAAATTAAAATTGAAATTTTGGAATGCCTAACAAATAACCAGAACAAAAAAAAAAACACATTTCTCTTCTAAATGTTTGAAATTTATATTTTAAATTTTTCAATAAAAAACCAAACTTACACCTTGAGAATGGACCGCCCAAAACTGGCCCATCTCATTAAAATATGTATTTCAAGGAATGAAAAACGTAGTAGTTAAAATAAACCACAACACTGGATGTCAACACCAATCCAGGCTGATAAATATTTTTTCTCTCCTATTTATATTAAATTGAATAAAAAAACAATGCTTTTTTGTAAAATAAAATACATTTTTATTTCGCTTTAACTGTTTATTTTCTTACATATATGCATTTTTATTATTATTTACTTTTTTCTGTTTACAATTTTATTGTTACTACTTTTTTATAGAACATGGAAATCCAGTTTATGGCTCACGACCACATAAAAGGAAAGAAATTAAATTGCATCCTGCCGGTAAATGTTTTATTTTAATTATCTCACTGCTTAATTATTTTTAAGTTCAAATAGTAGTCACTATTATGTTTATTGTATATGTTTGAGTTTATTTTTTAGAAAAGGCTTGGCATAAAATATCTGCATACAAAACTAATATAAAATTTTAAAACATAAAGGAGTAAATTATTGATTACTCAGGAAATTTGAAATAATATCAAATTTTATTTTTGGATACATCAATCAAAACAAACCAATAACTCATAGCACTGTTCAAACCCAACAAAGAATTTGGGGAAAATTTAGTAAATTATAAAAGTATAACTAAAAAAGACACCATTTTGAAAGTTTACGTCGCAAAGTAACGTAAATAGTAGGAGGCAAGATCCCCCCCTCTTCAAACTTTTGGAATTAAGATTCCTCTAAATTTGTGCATTTTAAGTGTATAGTATCATCGGCAATATTGAAGATGAAAATACGAGGAGCGGTCTTTTTGTTCCTTTTTTTAAATTTATAAATTTTCTACAGAATTTTTTGTCAAATTCTACTATAGGTCCTATATACTTATTTATTTTTTTTTTTTTTTTTTTGGGAAAAGTGTTAAAGTAAGAATTATTCTACATCAAATTTCCTGTGAGTCTCCGAACAAAAAAAATTGTATACCATAAAAAATAGGTACCATAAAAAATAGCACCAGTTTCTGTTAATAAAAACTTAGTAAATTTTCCTAGAATTTTCCTTTTTACAATAAACCCTTAAAAGATTTTTGGGTTCTTAAGCCAAATGTTGTTAATAGGTCATATAGATCCTCTTTTTGGAATAGTCTACTTGTAGGGATAACTCCGATGTCCAATATTTTTTACGTTTTTGCCAAGTTATCTATTTAATTTTGGCATTTAAAGCTCTTGTTATGTACAGGGTGAGATAATAAAAACTGCAACAAAGTCAATCGCCATCATTTTTACATATTTTTTTTTTTTTAAATGTTATTGAATGATCGAAAAATAAATCGGAAACAGCATCAAATATTAGTTTAAGTCATGATTTGTTCCAATTGGTCGCCTTTGGCCTTCAAACGGCCAATGAAACCGTCACACGCTGCGCGAATGTTGCTTTGCGATATTTTGGCACATTTCCGGCGAAGCGCTTACTTGAAGTGATCGACATTTTGGTATTTTTTAGTGCCAACCTTGCTTTCCAAAATACTCCAGACACAACAGTTTGGTATCCGGAGATTTTGGTGGCCATTGGCTTTGTAACCATTCTTGGATGGTGCTGAATGCTGCTGCTGTTCCGGTGTAAGTTCTTTTGGAATTTCAATGGCTTTTCCCCGAGCTCATTTTTCATTATTTACGAATAGAATGGAATATTGCGATATGTTTAGCTCACGAGCCATTTTTCGGCCACGACACGAGTTTCGATCAAGTCGCTTATTTACTTTTCTAACCATTTCTGCTGATGTTGCTGTTTTCTCCTGTCCACTTCCTTGACGTCGAGCTACACTACCAGTATCACAGTAATGAGCTATGGTACGAGACACAAACGATGTATTCACATTTAAATGCTGGAGTGCTCTAACGATAGCCACTTGTCGTTTTCCAGCCTAATATAAAGAAATCACACCATCACGCTTGAATTCCATCACGAATAACTATTTTTTCTGGAAAATTCTCATCAAAATGCTTTTGTACGCTTGTAAACAATTTCATGAACTGTCATTGGAATAATTTTAACAGCTGTCGGACGAGTGGCTTTGAAATGACAGCAGTCTGAAATTGTTGCAGTTTTTTTTTATCTCAACCTGTATTTACTGAAATTTAAGACCCACGTCATTATGCCAAATACATTTCAATGCCATTGTGAAACTGTCACTTCCAAAAAAGGAAATGGACAAACCTGATTTCCTCCTATGGATTTCTACAAAATCCATATTTTCAAGTATTGAGCGACGTGAAGCAAATTCTCTAATGCTGTCTGACAAAGTGCTTCACAACGACCCAAACATGCTTTAGATTCGCGAACTGCTACTGCAATATTTTCAAGCTTTTTGCAGTTAATTTAAATAATTTAAATTAATAATAAAAAACAATACAATCTTGGAAATAGTTCAAAATTTTAACATATTTTTGATTATGAACTTTTCTGTATGCAGACTCTTTATGCCAGGTATATAAATAGCAATGTTATCTTATTATATATTGGAGTTATAAAATATAAATGATCTGTTTTTTATGTTCGAAGTAAAGCATTTCCTTCGAATAGAAAAGACATTCCATTTCCAATCGAATATGGTTGTAATGGATAAATGTTATAAATCATAAAAATATCAATGTTCCTTACAATCTTATTCTATTTTGTTAAATTAGAATGCCATTTTTATTTTTACATTAAAATTTCTTATATTTGTTGATGGCATGATGTTTTTCGAACTATCTCTCTTCTTGTTTTATCTTTATATTTGTTCCTTCTTCTCGCTATGCATTAGTATTTGTTTTATTCAACTTTGTCTCACCTGCTTGAAATATTCCTATACCGTTTGTCCGTATTTTCCATGTTTATTATATTTTATATATCTTAAAATGTCATTGTTTAGAGTAGGATCTGTAGGATCCATTTTAATGTTAACTTTTCTATGTAAGTTAATGTCTAAAACTTAAAAAGCAATATGGAGAATATCAAATTCAAAATCATTTGAAATTTCAAGAAAATTTCTCGATTGTTATAATCACTAATAGGTTTATTGTTTCATTAGTTTTACATAAGCTATGTTTGCAATTTAGATAAAACCTCAGCCCCCGTCCTAACAAAATCTTGAGAAATGAACTATGTCTGTTTATTAAAACCCTTCCGAAACCATTTGAATTATATCGCATTCCTAGGAAATAGAATAACTCTTACAAAATATTCCTTTAACTTTTCATATCTTTATTCATGCGTATTTATTACCTACACCACAAGGTGGCCAGAGTATTATTTGTCTTTATGCATTTGTCTCTAACAGGCAAAAGGAAACGAGATAGACCCATAGTTCCATTTGATGATCTGCATAGAGTCACATTCTGAGTCGATTTATGCATGTCCGTCCATCCGTCTGTCTATATATTTTTGTAAACAAAGTACAGGTTGCATTTATTGCCCGATCCAGATGAAATTTTGCATAAATCATTTGTTTGGCCCAAGGATTCGTCCTTGAAGATAGTAGATCAAAATGTAGATATAGCTCCCATATATATCTTCATCCGATTTGCCTTTTATTGTGCACCAAACGTGTAATATCAGACCAAATAGTATGGAATTTTGCACATACGACCAAATTAGGCCTGAAAATAAGTATGCCAAATTTGATCGAAATCGGTTCAGATATAGCCATAGCTCCCATATATATTGATTATCCGATTTTTTATTTTTGTCCTCCACAGGCGCAATATACACTCTGTAACAACGATATTTCGGGAAATAAATCAAAAACAGCTCAGAAATATCTTCCCTAAATTTTATCGAGATCGGTTCAGATATGGATTTAGTTCCCACATATATCTTCGTTCGATCTAACTTTGATTGTGCGCCAAACGTGTAATATTAGCCCAGATGGGATGGAATTTGGCACTTACGACCAAATTGGGTCTAGAAACAAGTATGTCAAATTTGGTAAAAATCAGTTCAGATATAGCTATAGCTCCCATGTATATTGTTCATCCGATTTGTTGAATTTGTCCTGCATAGCCGCAATATGCACTCCGTAGTAACGATATTCGGGGAAATATATCAAATACAGCTCAGAAATGCCTTTTCCAAATTTTATTGAGGTCGGTTCAGATTTGAATATAGCTCCCATATTTTTCCGATTTCAAGTTAATTGGACACCAAATGGGTAATACAAGCCCGAATTGAAAAGGCACAAATGCCTCGGCAAATTTCGTAGAAATCTATTCAGAGTAGGGTATTCCTCTCATATATAAGTTCCTTTAGACTTTTATTTATAACTATAATCATAGTTGGTATGATTTAATTCTCACAAATTCCCCACATAAACTTTTATTTGTTATGTGAAACTCTACTAAATATGTAAAGTCATGAAGGGTATCATAAAGTCGGCCCCGCCCGACTTTAAGTCTTTCTTTCCTGGTTTTTCTGTAGTATTCTTTACCACTTTGTCTGGATTAATAATAAATTATTGCCTGCAGTCTTCAAAGGCCTCTGGTATTTTTGATAGAAATCGATTCTATGTATATACATATGTCTTCCCTCCTATTTAAAATTTAAATCGCATTACAACCGTGCATTGTAACAAATGGAGCAACTACTTTACACAAATCCCTAATACAAACATACATTTATTACGAAATACTCTGCTAAAAATGCAGAATGGTTAAAAATGTAGTTTGTCTTTTCTTACTTATTTTAATATGTTTATAACATAACATAACTCCATATACTTTTTTAGAATTCGACAACCAAATAGTGGTTTTCGTGAGGAAAATTAAATTCCCATTAAGTGTTGGAAAGTAAATAAGGCACTTGATTTTTTAAATATATTTGTTTGTTGGATTCTCAAATGCAAAAACCTTCTAGGATATACTTGCAAATAAATATTAACGGAAACGCCAATTTTCAATGTTTCTAAATTTTTAATATCAACCCAAGATCTTTGTAACACACATTTCACATATTTTGATATTCTGTCAAAGTAGGGGTAAACATTTTTCGACTAAAAAAATTGCAATAGTTAATAGAGAAAGTAAAATGATCCCTATGTACTTCCCACATATTGGAAGAGTTCATGTATAAATGGAGTACCATTTAAAATTAAAAATAGTTTTTTGGTCTTTTGTTTTTTTTTTTTTTTTTCAATGTTCCAAGATTTTTTTTTATTAGTCTTATTGAAAATTGAAAATTTTTTTTTTTTTATAAAAAATTACTTTTTCAAATTGATTATAAATATCCTCTAGATACGGAACCCATGCATCATTTTAAATTGTATAAAAATACAAGTATGTCAAATTTTCATTTACGCCCCATTATGAACAGAAAGTGAATTCCAGTAAGGTGGTCAATTGGTGACAACATAATAGTAATATATCAATCCAATAAAAAGAGTCGTTCTTAACCTATATATGTATTTATGTCAACACCTTTTAAAAATACCTAAATATCTATATGTTATCGATTACCCACTCTACTGGAGTTCCACGAAATCTCATAATTGGGACATGTGGTGTAATGAAATACAAACTGACAAACCTATGTATATAGTATCTAACTGAAATCATACGTCATTTTTCGTCCAGTGTTTAACGCATCTACATACATAAATGTTCTTTCTCTACCTTCTATTTTTCATAAAATTGGCAATATGCCTAATAAATATATACAAATTTATTATTTTTTTTGACTTGTGTATAGTGTATAAAAACCTTTGTAAATATTTTGTAATGATTAATTTTAAATTATTTTTTTAATAAATATTTACTAACATTTTATTAATTTTTTTGCCTGTATGTAAATATTTTATTGTTCTTAATAATTAGTGTAATCTCAACATGAATTTTAAAATTGTACTAATTTGCCTTTATATTATATATCTTCCTACTTTGATTTTTGAAATAAATTTTAGCTGTCCGAGCTGGTGATTATTACATGTTCGAGGATATTGATGATAAATTTGAATTGGATTTGATAACCGATAGCGATGGCCTATTCGATAATGACAACGAAAACATTACCGAGAGTGAAATTAAGATGAATCGCCGTAAGACCCTATATGATGTAAGTATTAAATTTCCTTTTGTTTATATGAATGTACTGAGTGTGTTCTGCTATGCAATGGTCTGAGTATTGAGCTAGACTGGCTTTTGGTATGAAAATTATAGTATTCTAAATGATAATAAATCGTTGTAATGAGTTTTTAGTTCAATTTATTTTCTCTTGTCTCAGATCCTACGGTGTGACTAATATTTATATAATTTATTTAATTAATGTGATTCCATTGAACTCGGCTCTTAGAATGTCCCACACAAAATAGGGGGTTGTACCAGAATACTTATTGTGAGGTGATGAAAGCAAAAAATGTTGGAAAAAGCTATTTTAGAATAAGTTTAGATTTGTTCAAATTGGTCAACTTTGGCACGAATTATGGTTTTCAAAGGGCCAATGAAACAGGGAAACCCACGAATACTTTTTATGTGTTGTAAATGGAATAAAAAGTTAAATATACCCAACATTTTGTGGTGGAATATAAAAGTACAAACTGTAATACCAAATTTCAAAGCTCCAAAGAAAATTCTTTGGACTTTATCTAGATTTCAACAAGGAAAATATTTTGGCATTTAGGAGCTTCTATATTTGGGGTTGGAGGGTGTTACGAGTTTAAAACATCAACGAGTTTAAACCCTCCTTTTATTTCAAATAAAAAGCAATTACTTCTTGAATTTTAGGTCAGTATATTCGTTCGATTTATTTTAGCTTTCCAATGTTTTGCAATAGTTTACTTTGTATTTAGTATTTAAATTAACAATTATTTTAACAAAGGCTATAACATTTTCAGTTATAGGGTGTTACAAAATTTACTTTTATAACTTATTTTATAAAATAAAACATACAATTTATCTAGTTGCGACAATTACTATTCCGCTTCATCTACTTCTATATTATCATAAATATCTTCTATACCCTGAATCTCTTTGAGTTTGTCCACAAACTTTTGATAATCGGCCTTTTCCTCAGGCGTCAATGTGACAGTATTTAATGGCGTGAAAATGTGTTCTGTATTATTGACAACATAGCCTTTGTTCTCCAATGCCTTACGTACACCATTAATCCCTTCTGGTTTACAGATGAAATGCACCGAACCCGATTCATTATCTATCACTTCAATATCTTCCGCTCCCGATTCAATGGCATCCTCTGTCGCCTTATCCTCAAGACTTTCTCCAGCACCAAGTCGCGTCTTATCAGCCGTTGCCTGTATTAAACCAAAGTCTTCAAATAAATGTCCGGCATCAATTTGCACCCCACCACCTTTACGCAGTATGGTTGACATATCCATTTTTAGTTGGGCAAAATTATCCGTATATATGGTGCAGACCATAAAGACTTTCTGTTTGAATCTCACATCTTGGCGATACTTTTTCAGTTGTGTCTTGGATGCTGTGAATTTTTTCAAATTATTCTGTATCGTTGCCATGGGCATATTTTTGCGTAGAGCTTCTTCAATGACACTTTTCAGCTCGCTGTTTAGATTAGGATCAGCACTGCCACCATCCTGTATGGCCAAACGTATTTGTCGTGCAATTCGAGAAAATAATGCCGACTTTTGTCCATCTTTGGCGGCCTTAATGTGACGAATATTTGCCCATTTGGAATGGCCAGCTAATAGGGGATACAGTTGAGTGGAAATGTCTCGTGTTGTACAGCTGAGGCTATTTGTCCAGTTGCTTGGTTGTATTTTCACCGATTGCTGGAGCAAATTATTCCGTAATACAGTGAAGATTAAACTTCTCATTGTGAAAATGATAGGTAGGCAGGCAGACAGCTAGAAATTGTTAATGAGGTAGCCGGATTCCAACGATGGTTGTTGAATTAACGTGTTGTTATTTTTGGAATCCTTTGTTATTTTTTCTTAAACAATATAGTTATTGCATTTGTAGTGATATTTTTATTGATATTATTTGCTTAATAATAATATAATTTATATGTGATTCTATTTGCTACTTTGGTTTATGTAAAATACACCAATACAAATTTGAGGTTATGTTTACTTCATCCATAGGCGTTCAGCTGTTTGTCAATGAACAGATGGCCAGACACAGTGTTGTTTTTATTTCGTATGACATCAGCAGACACGGCAGATGGCGTGGCCGAAGACAAGTAACTAACGCCGTTGAAATATAATGGCCGTTAACGGAATGAAATCAAAGCTATTTAAAACTAGTCAAATATATTTTTATTTTTAAAAAATAAAAAAATGAATTGTTTTCTGTAGGAATAATTTATTTATACATCAAAAGAACTAATGAAGTTTTTATAAACATGTTTAAGTAAAAAATATTTTAATATGTTTATAAACTTATATTCAGCAAAGAAACTTACATTAATGGACATGCTTTAATTGAAAAGGAAATAGGTATTTTTTAATTACAGCGCCAAATATTTAGCCTTGGTTTGATTAGAATAAAACATTTTATTATGTAATGATATGAACTTTCTGAGCTTTGGGACAGAGGTGAGGCCTTCACTTTCTAATTTTGTTTTACAGGAGTTAGTGTTTGGTGTTATATTTATTTATGAACAACAACCTAAAATGATATTCAGACCATTGTATAAATTTGTTTTTGTTGTTTTCTTTTACAAATAAACCAAACAATTTTTGTGTTGAACCCAATTTATGCATCCATTGGAATTTTATATGTTTGATCATCAAAATTTTTCCAATAACACGACAATTTATATTAATTCCCTTCAACAACAACAAAACACAAACAAATTAAATGAAATTGCAAACAAAGGTTTGGAAGGACATTAGTGCTGTGGAATATCGTCGTCAGGTATATTTACGGCAACGTTCGTATGCCTCGGCACCACCCTCCCATATTGGTATACTCTTGAATGAGCATCAAAATGATGCCGATCTAAATACCGAAGGCGGTATACGTATATCAACATTATCTGAACCTTTGTGCTATGCCCAACGTTCGACAAGTGAATATTTTGTGAGTTGTAAAAAAAGTTTTTCAAAATTTTCTCCGTTTCTTTTTTCTTTGTAAGAAGAAGAAGTAGAACGGAGAGTAAGACACCATTTTGGATTTTTCTTTCTAAAGATCACCAACGTTTTTTCTAAAACTCCAAATATTTTATTTTTGTTTCGCTAAATCACCTCAATTTAAGTGAATACACCCACAAAATCACACACACTATTTGACACAAAATATTAAAATATGTTTTACATAAAAATTATATAAAGTAAATAAAAAATATATAAAATACTTTCGATATTACACATACTAAAGTTTAATTTAAATTCATTAATTGGTTATTGGAAATGTGCGTAAATATCGATAGTGTTTTATATAGATTCAATGTTATTGTTAAATGTAAATATATAAATGTGTATAAAATCTCAAACACAATTGACTACACATTACTAAAAACTAATATGTTTCTTATAACTGACATATAATTTAATAATTGTTGATGTTTTTTAGTCATCGTTATTAAAATTTTGAAATATAAAAACTAATTTTATTATCCACCTATTTATATTTACAAAGGAGAGTCAAAAGCCCAGACCCCAAAAGGATTCACTGACCGATACAGCTGGACCCTCTACCAGCAAGGCAGGCGGTGGAGCAGCAGGTGGAGAAACCCCAGCAAAAATGCCCACAATGGAGCCTAGGCAAAAAACTGAAGTTGACAGTGGTGAAATAACTGAAAAGGATACAGAAGAGGGTAAGGAACAAGTTTTTGTTTCAATTGAGAATTGAATTAAATCACATTCCCATTACAGATTTCGAAGCCAATCCCATAATACGTTTAATGGAAGGATTTTTGGTCTCGCTGACCATCCGTTTGAATCGTTTCTCACGCAATTATCGTTATGTCAATAAAATCCTCGAAGAAGAAAAGAAAGCCTTGAAGGAATCCAACAACCTGTATATGTTTAATGGTCGTTTTAGCGGCCGCAATGCTGCTGCCATATTCAGTTTAATGAAACGTAACATTGCCAGGTATTTGTCCAAGAATTTATTTGCAATAATTATGTTCTTCTTCGCCAGCAGTAACGTAAATATTATATATTTTTGAAATCAAAATTTTATTTTGAAAACAAATTTGGCTTCTTTTATGAAATTTTAAATTTTTTTTCAAGAGTTAAATTTTTTGTTAAAACCGTTTAAATTGCATTTTGTTTCTTTAAATTATTTGTTTTTGTTAATTTTATTAAGAAAAAAAAAGAAAAACTAGAAGTATTTTGTGGCATGATTATAAACAGGAGATAAGTGGAAGGCTAATTAAACTGTGCAAAACACAAAAAAAAAATAATAATAATCACTGGGAAATGCAGCAGCTTATGAAAGTGGAGCCAAAAAGTAGGAACGGCGTTTCGAAAGTTTATATCACAACGTAGCCTAAATAAAGTAGACAAATTCCCCCTCTTCCACGTTTTGGAAATTTTCGTATTAAAATTCCTCGGAACCCATACATTTTAGGTATATACAGGGTGAGGTAAAACAACTGCAACAAAGTAAAACGCCATAATTTTTAAATTTTATTGAATGAAAGCAAAAAATGTCGGAAATAGCATCAAATTTTAGAATAAGTTTAGATTTGTTCGATTTGGTCAGCTTTGGCACAAATTATGGCCTTCAAATGGCCAATGAACCGTCATACGCTGCCCGAATGTTTTTCTGAGGCCAAGATGTTTGTGTGCCCAAGGCTTTAATACACCCTCCAGAATATTTTCGCGATAATTTTCGGCATTTATTCTGATGCCACGGTCGATTAATACGAGCGGAGAGCGACCACTCAGCTGTTATGGCGGCCCACACCATCACCATGGCCGGCGCTTGAGTTCTGGTGGCCAACCGAATGTGCACATTTTCAGCTAACCTCTTTGGCAAATAAGCACGATCATTTTGTTTGTTTAGAAACTGCAGGACAACGAATGTCTTCTCATCGTAGAAAACCAAATTCGGCAGTTTACCACTTTTGGCCAAGCGAAGCAACTCTTTAGCTCTTTTGAGTCTATTTTCCTTCTGTTGCGATCTAAGTGTACTTTTTGGAATTTCAATGGCTTTATGTGATATGGAATGGAATATTGCGATATGTTCAGCTCACGAGCCATTTTTCGGCCACTGCGACGCGGTTTTCGATCAAGTTGTTTCTTTACTTTTCGAACCATTTCTGCTGATGTTGCTGTTTTCTACCGTCCACTTCCTTGACGTCGGGCTACGCTGCCAGTATCACAGTAACGAGCGATGGTACGAGACACAAAAGATTTATGCGCATTTAAATGCTGGAGTGCTGTCACTGAAATAATTTTAAAAGCTGTCGGACGAGTGGCTTTGAAATGACAGCAGTCTGAAATTGGTTGCAGTTTTTTCATCTCACCCTGTAGATAAAGATATTTCATATAAAAATACGAGGATTAATTTGTTTCGAAATTTCAAACCTCAAGCAAGTCAACATATGTTCGTTTGGTACTTTTTTTGAAAATATGCTGTAATACTCCCTATAAACGGGATCGTAGCAAGTCAAAATATTCTCCAAAATGATTTGTCGTAAAATTCTACTACAGGTATTCATAATTTTATAATTCATTCATATTTCAGATCTAGAAAGTAAGTTTAGTCTTATTTTCCGAATTGGCTGTTATATCCTCTACTGTATTATAAAGGGTATATTCGTGAAAAAATCAAGAATAGGTTGTCTCTTCGGTATAGCTCTTAAGTAGATTTAGCCAAGTCAGCTTGTTAAAGACAGAGCTTTGCGTTTTATTGCGCCTTCTTTTACGTATTTTTCATATTTGAAATATTTAAATAAAAATGTAGCCAATCAAAAATACTTCTAGTTTCAAATCAAGTACTATTTTAAATTCATTATTTTATTATTATTATTAATTTCGTTTTTTTGTTTTTCCTTCTTCTTCTTCTTTGCATATTCTGTTTTGCATCTTATGTTACATACATATCTTCTGTTATTGCAACCTGTTATTGTTTGCTACCCTGAATTTGAACATGAATGCTATGTACCAACCACCCATCATCACCAACAACTACAACAACAACGAAAAAATCAACAAAAACAATACCACAAATCCTTCACCAAATGTAAAAAATTGAAAAAAAAATCATGAATCATTCATTGTTAATACTTTTTTATTTAATTTATTTTACCAAACATGTTATTGTGAATGTTACATTTAAACTCAAAAATATTATTATAATTATTATTGTTTCTTTTTTATTTTGTTATACGTTTCTTGATTGTTAATTAAAAAAAATGTTTGATTGCAAGTAGTGATGAACATGAAGATGCTACACGTCCTATTGCTACTACCCCAACCTCATCGAAAAGGAATTCTAACAGTGCACCATCCACCACCACCACACAACCACACAATGAATTTATGCAATCACCACCATCACAAATACCACCATCCATTAACATATCAACATCACAATTACAACAACAACAATATAATGATGATATCAATGCCATCGAGCCATCATCATATGATGTCGTTGATAGGTAAACATTTTAAACAAAACAAAAAGCAACAACAACTAACAATTATTTTATGGTCGGTTTGCACTGACCCATGTTGTTATACTCTAAACCACTACCTATTTTTGAATTTCTATCAGTAAGATGGGGAATATTTTTCTGAGTGATTTGGTTTGGGGAAATATATTGGACCCTAAAGTAATTAATTTCAGGTCCTGTGAAATAACAAACGCAAAAGAGTTTATTCATAACAAATAGGAATATTTCAAAATTTTTTAAGTAAATAAATAGAAATTTTAAGTTATTGTAGATTATTGCCCTTCGAAATGGTAAATTTTTAGACATTTTTGGGAATTTTGCGTGAAAATCTTATTTTTATACCCTACACCATTCTATGAAGGGTATATTAACTTTGTCATTCCGTTTGTAATTGAAATATTGAAATACTCATGACAGACCCAACAAAGTATATATATTCTTGATCAGCATAAAATTCTAAGTCGATTTAGCGTTGTCCGTCTGTCTATCTGTCTGTTGTAATCACGTTTCGAACGGATTGAGATAGAAGGCTAACAATTTGCACACATGTATATTTTGTAGATCCACGTTTTCATATAGCCCCTATATAACGGTACCTCTCGATATTCGGAATTTTGTTGATTTTAACGACATTATTCACCGGAAATGTTTCGAATTTGATTTTTTAAGTTCGAAATGAATACTACAGCCTAGGACAGAAAATCGTCTGTATAGGTCCACGTCTTCGTATAGCCCCCATATAACGGTAACTCCCTATATTCGGTATTTTGATGATTTTAGCGACATTATTAACCGGAATTGTTTCAAATTTGGCATTTGAAGTTCGTTATGGATACAACAGCTTATGACAGAAATTTGTCTGTGCAGGTCCACGTCTTTGTATAGCCCCCATATAATGGTACCTCCCGATAGTCGGTACTTTGATGATTTTAGCGACATTATTCACCGGAATTGTTTCAAATTTAGTATTTGAAGTTCGTAATGAATACTACAGCTTTTGACAGAAAATTGTCTATGCAGGTCCAGGTCTTCGTATAGGTCCCATATATCAGTACCTCCCTATATTCGGTATTTTGACGATTTTAGGTACAATACTCACGGAAACTTAAAAATATATAGATTATACTAAATCCAAAACCCACAGGTTTGGGTGGCATACATCTTTAAACCAAAATGAGATTATCTCAAAATGAACAAATATTCGCTTGAATTTGGAAATAATTTTTCGATTTTCTTTGAACATTGCCCAATATTTTTTTCAGTATCAGATAAAGTGGAATACTTTGGTCCACTATATCTGGTAGCTCACGCACTTTTCAACATTTTCAAAAAATCATCACATAACTCAAAAAAAAGTGAGCGAGTACTCGATATAGTCCAAATATGTCAACAAAATCGACTGATACTTGTTTTCCTTTGCATTTTGACATAAACGTCTATACGGAAACATTCTGTAAAAAAAAAAATAAATTAATTAATTAATAAATAAAAATGGGGCACTCAAGTCTTGTTTCCAAATCCTGTTTTTATTTAGGAATATTCAGCTTACGATAAAAAAGAAATTCAAAAAAAAATAAATTAGTTATCGTAGTGGTTTTAAGGTGTAACAACAGTTTTATTAATTTAAATTTATAATCCCCAATATTATTTTGTAGTTCGTAGAGTAGATATATTTTTTAATTTATTTTTGATTTCGTAGCAGCTAAAAGTAATTAATTTCCTTAGCAAAATAATTAGCATAATTGCCGAAAAAACAACATCAATAATGTTTATATCCAAAAAAAGTCTCTCCAAACAGCAAACACCAAATTTATGCATATTTTCATAATTAACATTTTTTGTATTATAGCAAAGAGACACTATCGGAACCGAATAGTAGCAATAAGCTTGTACGACCAAAAGGGTAAGTTAAATTCATGCATTCTTTTTCGAATTTTCGTTTTCTCATTATTTTACGCTAGTAAACGTTATTATTGTCATTTATGTTTATGAGAAAATATTCATATCTTTTTAATTTTTAATATCATAAATAATATTTGTTTTCATATTTTATAAATACAAACTTGGAGCCAAGTGAAATTTTTTGCTTATTTTTGCTGTGGAAATTGAAAACAAAACAAAAATTGATATAACAAACATTTAGACCCATAAAAATGTAAAAGCTCCTCTCGCTTCATATCTTGCTTTTTTATAATATTAGCATGGAGACTAGAGTAATTGAATGCTTACTGCTGTGAAAATTATTATACTAATAATAAAAAGTTTTTAGAAAAACGTCGCAACATTAGGCCCTTTTAAAAATTGGTTTAAAATTACGTCATAAAATCTTTTATAAACAAAATCTATTCTATAAAGCCAAATGGGAAGCATTTAGAATCCGTAAAATATTTACGATATAAATCCTTTTGAATAAAAAGAAAATCTTTAAAATTAGGACTTTTGGGAGATTTATAAAAATTCTTTATAAAAATGCACATTGCGACTCCTTTTTGTAATCCGTAAAAATCCAATATATAACCCCTTATAGGACCAGGGAAATACAGCGGATTATAAAAGTAGGGGTAAAAAGAAGACACGTGGATCTGTGTTTTAAAAGTTTACATCACAAAGAAACCTTAATAGAGGGCGCATGTTCGCCCCTCTTCCACACTTTTGGAAATTTTTGATTTTAAGATTCCTAGGAATCCATGCATTTCAGGAATAGGAAAATAGGTCGAAAATTGGTCGAAAATTTTAACCTTCAAGCTCGTCAAAAAAAAGGTGCACATTTTCAGCTGAACTCTATGTCAAATAAACACGATCATTTTGTTTGTTTACAAACTGCAAAACAACGAATGTTTTCTAGTCGGAGAAAACCGAATTCGGCAGTTCACCACTTTCGGCCAAGCGAAGCAACTCTTTAGCTCTTTTGAGACCATTTTCTTTCTGATGCGGTGTAAAATTCTTGCACTTTTTGGAATGTCATTGGCTTTACCCCGAGCTCGTTTTTCAATATTTCCCGAATGGAATATTGCGATATGTTCAGCTCACGAGGTATGTTTCGGCCAATGCGACGCGGGTTTCGATCAAGTCGCTTCTTTACTTTTCGAACCATTTCTGCTGATGTTGCTTTTTTCTTCAGCCCACTTCCTTGACGTCGGGCTAAGCTACCAGTATCACGGCAATGAGCGATGGTGCGAGACACAAAAGATTTATTTATTCATTTAAGTTATGGCGTTCCTAAAATATTATTTAAAAAATCGCTAAAATTAGCTAAAAATTTAAATTAATAAAAATAATATTAGCTTAATGCCTAAAATATGATTTCTGTGCTCTTCCCTTGGCTCCAAGTTTCAATATTTTATTATTTATTGTATTTTTATGCTTTCATTTCTATTACCTACTATTTGTACAGTATTAATTGTGTACAAAAAGAAATTGATTGATATCCATTTGAAAACCAAAAAAATACCCCATATATAAAAACCATCCTATCTATATTTGTTTTATATCCTCAACAAACAAAAAACATATTATTGCGATTGGTGTTATTTGTACAATGAAAAAAAAAAAACAAAAACAAACAAAATTAAATGCTTTGGCTTTGTTCGTTCGTTAAATTGAATTTGTTTGCCAACCATAACAAAAACAAAATCGTATCTGTGCATATGTAGGCGTAAATCCGAGCCTTTACCCGAAATACGCATTAAGGCTCCATCGTTCGATCGTAGTCGCCGTGGCTCAGTTGCTCTAATTACAAATCAGTGGGCTCAAGAGAAAGTTACCAGGTAGCTTAGTATTTCCTTTCTTTCATTATTCATTTCTTTTCTTTTTTAAAAAATTCAAAATTAAAAAAAAAGTACAAAAATTGATATTTTTTCCCATTAGAATGAGATTTGTTTTGTAAGGTGTTTTAGTTAATGAATGATTTTCCTTTTTTGAGTTCGAAAGTACCACACCTTAAAGTATAAGGTCAGTGAAGATGATGGTGATCAGAATCGGTTTTTGTAACTCCTATTATGAAGTGATCACCTTCATTCTCCTGACCTCCACCACCCTTAGAAGCTAGTTTTCGTCACAAAATTTTCTTTTAATATAAGAAAAGTATATTCTCACCCACACGTATGTCATACTTTTTTCCCCTACTACTTCATATTTCAGACAACTTGAAAACAAAAATCAAAAGCGTTTCCTCTAATATTATTGCTTGCATTAAATATATATTTTGTTTATTTTATTTTTTATTTATATTTTGGATTGTAAATTTATTCCTTTAAAGGTTTACGTTTTTTTTTAAATTTTGATAAATGATTGTAGCATGGTATTTTGTTATTAATTGTATGTAGAAATTATTTGGTAATTGTTAATGAATTTTGCAACAAGAGAATGAGTATAAATTAGAAAAAAATTAAGTCTTTGTAAAAATTTGGAAATTTAGCACATCCTAAATATTTTAACAGAGTTAGATCAGATAAGAAGTAATGGATAACTTTGTCAACTTATGTTGGGACTTCCACGACAAATGTTCAAACGTTTAAACAATGCGAAAAAACCAGTTTAAAATTTTGTTTTGAAAGTTATTGTACCAATATATAAATCGATTGGGAATATAGACTGTATCGACCACTTCAACTGGTTTCACCCTCACAAATTTTTGAAATATTACGATTTTTAAAAAGCTGCCTATCTGGTTCGCGTTTTTTTTCAATGTAGTATTTTTCCAACGGGTTCAACATAAACCAATATTTTTTATGTTTCCTCTCAGTCAATACTTCCCCTAAGAAACTCTATAATAAAAAAAAAATAGAAAAACTATCTTTCCTTTGCCAACGAAGGCGAATTCTATATTGCCCAGAAGGCCCTCCGAGAAGCGATTTATGACTGGCTTTTCCACAGAAATTTTCTTCAAAAATACTCGTTTGTTTTAAAATTCCTTCAGCTAGAACTACAAATTTTATTCCGGACTATAAAAGGCCAGAAAACAAGGCACTGCATTCGAGTTTCCCTCTTAAGTTATGGATAACTCTGTCAACTTATGTTGGGACTTCCACGACAAATATTCAAACGTTTAAACAATGCGAAAAAACAGTTTAAAATTTTGTTTTGAAAGTTATTGTACCAATATATAAATCGATTGGGAATATAGACTGTATCGACCACTTCAACTGGTTTCACCCTCACAATTTTTTTAAATATTACGATTTTTAAAAAGCTGCCTATCTGGTTCGCGTTTTTTTTTCAATGTAGTATTTTTCCAACGGGTTCAACATAAACCAATATTTTTTATGTTTCCTCTCAGTCAATACTTCCCCTAAGAAACTCTATAATAAAAAAAATAGAAAAACTATCTTTCCTTTGCCAACGAAGGCGAATTCTATATTGCCCAGAAGGCCCTCCGAGAAGCGATTTATGACTGGCTTTTCCACAGAAATTTTCTTCAAAATACTCGTTTGTTTTAAAATTCCTTCAGCTAGAACTACAAATTTCATTTCGGACTATAAAAGGCCAGAAAACAAGGCACTGCATTCGAGTTTCCCTCTTTTTTAACTTATATTTATATTATAAAATATATTAAAACATGTATTCCAAATTAGAACAATTGTACACATTAACTACTTTGTATGTTCAACAACGATCTATTTTTGTTAATGTATGTATATGTATGTACTTCAAAATCGATTTAGACAACTTAATATATACGTTTTTTTCTTTAAATTAGTAGAATGATTTTCTATTCAAAATAAAAGCAATGTTGACATTAAAAAAAAAAATATTTCCCCATTGTTTCTCCACCTTACAGCACGGAATTGGCATTCGATGAGGATGATTTTACAGCACGCGATCACAATATTATTGTGGAAGTTTTGATTTCAGCCTGGTATGCCATATTGTCAAATACGGATTTGATTTGTTACATTGTGGTGTTCATTAACCAGGTAAGCTTACAATTTTTGGTTTGAAATTCCTTATAAAAATCTTTTCTTCTTCTTCCTCTTTTTTCAGATTGTCAACGCCAGTTTAATATCGTTGCCATTGCCCTTGATGATTTTCCTTTGGGGCACTCTGTCGCTGCCACGTCCCACCAAAACATTTTGGGTCACTCTGATCGCTTACACCCAGGCCATTGTACTTATCAAATGTATCTTCCAATTTAAATTGATCTGGACGAATTACCACTACAATTTACCCAATAATCCATTGGGTATTGAGAAGTTGTTTGGTGTTGAAATGATTCCGGACTATGCCACATATGATTTGTTGCTGTTGTTGGTGTTATTCTTCCATAGGTAAGAAAGGACGATTGTTATACTTTAAAAATTGTGCAAAGAACTGTAATCGTCGAGTATTTAGATTATGTTATTAATTGAAGTCATAAACTGTCACATTTTGAACCTTCACTTTACAATTTTGTACCTGTACCTTAGAATTGTTTATTCATTTTGGTGTAATTACATATTACCCTGAAATCAGTTTTATACCCTCAGCCATATGGCTACAGAAGGTAGATATCATTTGATACGGCCAAAACATGCCTCATCAAAATAACGATTTTAGTCCCTAGGTCTCTTTGGACCAAATCCGTTTCAGGACATTTGGAGTCGATCTAGCGATGTCCGTTCGTCCGTCCGTCTGTCTGGCTGGCTGCTGTGCACGATAACTCTCGAAGGGAGTATCTGATTTGATCCAAACTTTGTAAAACTTAAATCGAGTCCCGAGATGGGTAATGTCGTTCCACTCCTTCTGGTACCACCCACACAAATTGTCAAGATTTAAAACAAAAAAATATGTATTACACAGAAAGAGAAAGGATAATCCGATTTTGCTCCAACTTTGCAAATCCTTATATTTGCGTAAGTTCTAGGTCAGATGCGAAAATGGACAATATCGGTCTACTCCATCATTACCTCACCCACAAAGTTTAACATTTTGAGTAATTACAACTCTTATAAAATGTTATGTAAGAGTCCGATTGTCTTCAAATTTCACACATCCCAATAATTTTACAAACCGAAGGTCTGGTGTTAAGATCTGGTACCTCCGGCACAAGGGGTCAAAATTTTGAACATTCATGAAGCACGGAATAACCATCCGATTCCACTCAGACTTGGTACATATTAATACCTCTATAAATACAAGATCTGTTATAAAGATGGTAAAGATCGGAACATTCCTTCTGGTATCTCAATGGAAGGGCAAAGTTTTGAATAACCAAAAACAATCATAAAATCCGAAATAACATTACCACCAGATAGCTCTTCAGTTCAGCCAGATGCAAAAGTGGCAAGAAGCTCTGTTCGATTTTCGTATAAAAAATCATAAAAATTAAAAAAGTAATTTTCACCAAAAATTTGGTCTGACTTGCAAGATTCCTTCCTTCTTCTGTATCTCCTCTTCGGTGTAACATTGTATGTATTTTTTATGTATCTCCTCTTCGGTATAACATTTGTTTGCAGTTCAAACTCATTCAATTATTAATATGATTCCAAAATCTTGTCTCGTTGTTAAAAGAGATTTGATCGTAAATAAAAAATACCCATTTCCACAAAAACAATTCTTCCCAACTTATTTACCATAGACTACCCACGTAGACTAGAATTTCGGCTGAGAACTATGCAAATACATTTATTTTGATTGTTATCTTTTTCTTCATTACAGATTTATTTTGAAATCTCATGGCCTTTGGAAGATCGATAACTATAAGACTGCAATGTTCCAAAGCGAGGCGGATGAGGACCGTAACAGTCTGTAAGTATTGGCGTTTTTTATAAATAAGTTAATAATACTGAAATTTAAGTATAAATTAAACAAATTACAGATTAGGTAGGTTTTATTATTTCTCTTCACAATATCAATTTAATTGAAATCAAATACATTCAAAATATTGAAGTCCATATAAAAAGAAGAATTATGTCTATCAAATCCAAAGAAAACTGGAAAAGGCAAACAGCAAGATTACAAGCAAGAATTAGAGTGTTAAGAAACTTTCGTGCCAAAACAAATAATGCAAAACAAAATCAAGACAATACCATGCTGAGGTATTCCAAAATTTGTTTAATTATTCGAATTTATTTAATATAATAACAAAATTATTGTGTATATATTTGTATTTAAATTTTGATTTTTTATAGAAATGTATATTAATTAATTTTGATATTGTTTATCCTATTATAGCAATGCCTCCAATGCTGATGGTGCTGAAATGAACTCAACCAGTGATCGTCGCCGTTCAATGGGTTCAGATTACGCCTCTGGAAGTCATGAAAGTATATCGGCCACCAATGAATTGGTGAAGCGTGTTGAAAGTTTCCAACGTCACAAGTACCTGTGTGGCCTTTCAAAATTCTTCCATAACTTGATGCATAAGGCCCGTCTGCCAACCGATGTCTATGCCCTGATGTTCTTGTGTGATTTTATTAATTTCTTTGTCTTGCTCTTTGGATTTACGGCATTTAGTGTAAGTATGACAAAATTTTATTTTTTACTATTGAAATGACTATTTTCTTTTTATTCCAGTCAAAGTTATCTGATGGTGGTGTAAAAACCTATTTGGCCGAAAACAAAGTCCCAGTGCCATTCCTCATCATGTTGTTGGTCCAGTTCATATTGATTGTAATCGATCGTGCCTTGTATCTACGCAAAGCATTGGTGTTCAAAATTGCTTTCCACTTTATATCGGTTGTGGGAATTCATATATGGATGTTCTTCGTTGTCCCAGCGGTCACAGAGCGTAGTTTCTATGCCTCGGCTCCGCCGATAATATTCTACATCATCAAATGTTTCTATTTGCTGTTGTCCAGTTATCAAATCAAGTGTGGCTATCCAACACGTATTTTGGGCAATTTCTTGACAAAGAGTTTCTCCATGATCAATATGATTTCATTTAAAATGTAAGTACTTTAAAGAAGTTGGTATTAGCTATATGATTTTTTTGATATGAGTAAATATTGAAAAAATGAAGGGGATTCAATTGTAAGGCTTTGAAGTTTTGAAATATACGATCATGAATTTTTAAAAATGTAATAATTAAACAATATATTTTTAAATATCCTTCAGAGACACTCGAAATTGTCTATAACTTTCTGAAAATAATTTTTTAAAATCTTATCTTTAATATTATTGTTTTTTTAATGTTTACTTTTAAAAGATAATATAAAATATATACAGGGTGAGATAAAAAAACTGCAACAAAGTCAAACGCCATACTTTTTATATTTTTTTTAAAATTTTTTGAATCAAAGCAAAAAATGTCGGAAACAGCATCAAATTTTAGAATAAGTTTGGATTTGTTCGAATTGGTCTCCTTTGGCACGAATTATGGCCTTCAAACGACCAATGAAACCGTCACACGCTACCCGAATGTTGCTCTGCGGTATTTTGGCCCATTCTCGGCGAAGCGCTTGCTTGAGGTGATCAACACTGTGGTATTTTTTAGTGCCAACCTTGCTTTCCAAAAAATACTCCAGACACAATAGTCCAACGGTTTGGTATCCGGAGATTTTGGTGGCCATTGTGCGCTGGAAATGAAGCGAGGAACCTCATTTTGTAACCAATCTTGGATGGCGCGTGCTGAATCCTGTTGGAATGTCCAAGGTTCGCGGCCAAAATGTTTGCGTGCCCAAGGCTTTAATACACCCTCCAGAATATTTTCGCGATAATATTCTGATGCCACGTTCGATTAATACGAGCGGAAAGCGATCATCGGCTGATATGGCGGCCCACACCATCACCAAGCGAAGCAACTCTTTAGCTCTTTTGAGTCTATTTTCGTTCCGTTGCGATGAAGGTTCTTGCACTTTTCAGAATTTGCCGAATGGAATGGAATATTGCGATATGTTCCATTTTTCGGCCACTGCGACGCTGGTTTCGATCAAGTCACTTCAAGTCACTTTTCGAACCATTTCTGCTGATGTTGCTGTTTTCTGCCGTCCACTTCCTTGACGTCGGGCTAGGTAATGGTACTAGACACAAAAGATTTATTCTCATTTAAATGCTGGAGTGCTCTAACGATAGCCACTTGTGTTTTTCCAGCCAAATATAAAAAAAATTACACTATCACGCATGAATTCCGTCTCGAATAACTTTTTTTCTGGAATATTCTCACCAAATTGCTTTTGTACGCTTGTAAATGATATAATGAGCAGTCACTGGAATAATTTTAGCATCTGTTGGATGAGTGGCTTAAAAATCACAGAAGTCTGAAGTTTGTTGCAGTTATTTCATTCCACCCTGTATTAAATCTTTTTTTATATATTAATTAATACATTACCTAAAAAATCTAATCTAAATGTTCCGATATTTGCTTTTTTAAATAGTTACATGGTCATTCCCTTCTTGTATGAGTTACGTACAATTCTGGATTGGCTGTGCACGGACACCACAATGACGCTCTTCGATTGGTTGAAAATGGAAGATATTTTCGCCAACATTTATTCAATAAAGTGTCTGAGACAAATGGAAACCGATTTCCCTGCTGTTCGAGCCCAAAAGAAAGCGGCCTTTATGAAATTGTTGATGGGTGGTGCTGTGATATTGTTTATTGTATTCCTTATTTGGGGTCCCCTCACATTGTTCGCCCTTTTCAATGCTGTCGGCCAATCTAATGTTCCCACAGAGGTTAAGGTATCGCTACGCATTAGTTCATATGAGCCCATCTATGTTACCAGCACACGTGAAAGTACCTATGTCTTTAATGATGAAATGTTTTCACAAATGAAAAATGCCTACATAAAGGAGCGAGAAGCTTTATCATTCCTACTGAACTATGATGCCTCTGATATTGCTGCCATCAAGCTGAGTGGTAATTCACCAACTATGTGGAATATTGCACCACCGGATAAGATGCGTCTATTGGATGAATTGAATAGCAGTAAGTATTTAATACTTTTCTTAAAAAAAAAAACAGAATTTTACTTAAACTAATTTCAAAATAATTTTTCAGATGCAACCTTAACCATCCGCTTGGCCTATGAACTGACGCGAACCCCACCCTCCAAGGGCCAGACGGGTACTGTGGGCTCAGAAATTACCTTCCAAATGAATGACACCTATGCCTATCGAGATACCCTAAAGGCCATGATAACTGGTGGACCCAATGATAAAAACTCTACCAATAATGGAACCTTAATAGAGGCCATTATACCAAATATTGTGCCGAAATTTATTAAGGTTCTAAACTCCGCTGATCCTATATATGTTTCAGCATTGCTTGTAAATACCAATAATAGTAAGTCCAACTAAAATGTTATATAGAACAATATCTAATGTCGATTTTTTTATTTTCAGACTTCCGCGACTTGGGCATCAAGGTCCACACAAATAACTACAGCTTCCAGTGGTGGGAAATTGCCGATCATTGTGATGACAATCACAATAATGTTGTTGGTTCGGGTGGCAGCAATAGCCTGGATGATGACGATGATGATGGCATTGATAAAGCCAATGAAATATTGAAAAAATTACCCTTGTATGATTGTAATTCGGGTATAGTTTTCTATACGTTTAACGATAAGAAATTCCCCTCAACGTGGACATTTATCACTGCTGGAGGGTGAGTTGTTGCTAATCTGTTATTGGTTTAATAATTTTTTAACAAAATTTTTGTTTTTTCCAGCATCATCGGTATCTACACTACATTTGTTTTAGTGGTCTCGAGATTTTTGAAGGGCTTCTTGGGTGGCCAAACTCGTAAAATTATGTACGAAGATTTACCCAATGTTGATAGAGTATTACAATTGTGCCTTGATATTTATTTGGTAAGTAAATAACAACAAATTAAGACAAATTTTCAATTTTAAATTCTACAAAAGATAGATCGATGGGATTTATATTCTAGTAGATATTTTTATACCCTCCATCATAAGAAGCCCCCATAGATATATTATCTTGGTGAGCATTAGCTTATGCGTCAATTTAGCTATGACCTTCTCTCCGTCCGATGTATCGGTCCATCTAACAGAATTTTGAAATCAAGATAGAACCCACATTATTTTTTAATCGCTTTAAAGTTTGGCTCAAGAGTTTGTTTTATGTTGTGGATGGATATGACCAGGGACGTAAGCAGAAAGGCATTTCGAAACCATTTCGAGAGCTCATCTTACAAAAAAAAAAAAAAAACATTTTTCCTTTTTTAATGTAAACTAAAGTTAAAAATAACCATTTATGGAGGACCGAGCCCAGGGCCCCACATCTTGCGTATTTTCCTGGGTATCACCCCCATATAACAATAAGCCAAGATTGTATAACGATATTTCCAAAGAAAATAATCAAGAATTGTTTAGGAATATTTCCTCAGACAATAACGATGATTTCTATGAACATTCCCATACCCGGGGTTTTACTAGGACAATTACTATCGATATTTTCGAATGCTTCCAAAAATAATAACAATCATTAAAATTTCTAATAATAAGAAGGAAACCCCCTCAGGTTATGAAAGTAGAGCTAAAATAGAAGATATATATATCGACGTTTTGGAAGTTTACATCGCAAAATAACCTAAATAGAGGAGGCAAGTTTACCCCACCTCCACACTTTTGGAAATTTTTGGATTTAGATCCTTCGAAATCCGTGCATTTATACCCAAAATGTACTTCAGAAATATTGTATATAATAGTACAAGGGATATTTTGGTCGAAAATGTCAACCCTCAAGCCGTTTAACAAAGGCTTCTTTTTTTGGAGTTTTTTACAAAAACTGTGAAATCTTCCCTTAAACGGGATCGTAGCAAGTCAAAATATTCTAGAAATTTTTTTGTCATAAAATTCTACTATATGTCCTAAACGCCAAGAATATATTTATATTTAAAGCACATTTAAGGGTTAAAGCCGTTCTAAATTTGTGCAAAAATCTCCAACAAAGCATAATTTTTGAAGGATGACGTCAAAGTCAAATATATTCCTCATTGAATTTAACTAAAAGTCAGCACAGAAATAAAAATCTCTATTTCCTTTGTAAACCATAAAAAAATCCATGGTACCAAAAAAAAAAAAAAACAGAAAATATTTCCTTATATTTTAGATCAATTTTTTCGGACTTTTTTCAAGTTAAAGCCTGAAAGTAACATAAAAATTCATTTTAACCAAAAACCGTCAAAAGAAGAAATATTCTACCCAACATTTCACTAGTAATCTCAGAATAAACTATACATCTAGATGCAATAGTTTTTACGAAAATTACATTCAAAATTTATGTATTAAAAGTAAAAAATTTTATGTATTTTAAGTATTATGTATTAAAAGTAAAAAGTTGGATTTTTTTTAATTTAACACATATCCAACCCGAGTCGAAATCTTCCCTTTTACTTCATTTTTTGTGTAAAGTGTCAAAGTAAAAATTATTCTAGATCAAATTTCACTATGAGTCTCTGAACAAAAGGAATTCGTATACATAATATATATCATAAAAAATAGCAACTATTTTTGTTTATAAAATGCCAAGTGAACTCGATAGTACTCGTTTTTAGATCATAAACACAAGGAAATTTGTTTTTTTGGCCAAATGTTATTAAAGACCTTATATAGTTTTACATGGAATTTCGATAGAGATCTTTGGATTATATCCAGAATGTATTCTTGGATTAGCAGGAGTATTATTAAGGACAGTTTAATAATAATAATAATAGTTTCGTATTTTAAGAATATACATTTGCGAAAGCCAATTATATATTGGCCGTAATTTAATTTATTTTTTAACACGTTTTCACCTCTTCTCGTCTTGCAGGTAAGAGAAGCCTTAGAATTTATGTTGGAAGAAGATCTATTTGCCAAACTGCTCTTCCTGTATCGATCACCGGAAACCATGATCAAATGGACAAGGCCACGGGAAGAGATCGCTGACGATGAAACCGATACGGATTCAGTGCGTAGCAGAGCCAGTGGGAGAAGAGAACATCAACAGCAGCCACAGCAGCAACAACAACAACAATAATGATTGAATCTGTACACAAAATATTTGACTGGATATTAAGCTAAAAAAAATATTTATATTAGAGGTTTATAATTTTTGTTATTACCCCTTTTCCTCACATGTGGATTGTTTTTTTTTTACAAGTTTCACTTCATTTTCTCAAAACAAACCTTAAATGAAAATAAGAAGAAAAAACTGCCGACCATTTGTAAAAACAAAAAAACTTTGTTCTAAGATCGTTTTAGTTTAAAAATAGTCAAATATTAAATTGTGTGTTTATTTTTCACTTCTATAGAAAATATTAAGCTAAAATACTTTTTTTATAAATATTAATCCATTTAGTGTCAAGGTTTGTTTCATATTTTCAGGGTGTGGCAAAAAAGTGTACTTGTATCGTGACGGGATCCATAATGTGGACATTCCTAATGATTAACTAATTACAGCTTTTTGTGAGGTTATAAAAAAATATTAAAAAATTATCTTAAATATTTAGAGATTTGGAAGATTTTTATTTTAATCTCATTAATAGAAACCTAGCCTATAGCCCATTAAATCTGAAAAAACGTCCCACATAACCTTATTTTTCCCATATTTTACCTTTGAAGATAAAATATCGAAACAGATAAAATATGCCATTTTTAGCTCGATTTAATTGAACAGTCGAATGTTAGAGTTGAAAGCCAGTTGTTTTTGCCAAAATGTTCATATTTGTCAGTCTAATATGATCATGCAGAAATTCATATCGATCGAATGAAGAAATTTTGCCACAGTCCCCTGTGGATCTATTCATTTTATAAGTAGTCACTTTTTTTAGTTACACCTGTCACATTTTGTCTTCTAATGTTCGAATGCCATTATATATTTTTTTGTCTCATCTAACCTCAAAAAATACGAACTTTTGTATTTTTATTATAGTTTTTTTTTTTATACATTACATATATCGAATCATATAAACCAAATCGAAAGAATATTTGAAAAACAACAACTAAACTAAAACAACACCATAATAATTATATAAATGTAATAAAAATGTGAACTCATATTCAGGGATTTTTAAGCATTTTTTTGATACAAAAAAATTAAATAAAGAAAAATAAAATCATAAAAAAAACCAAAATAATAAACAATATGTTTATATGTGTGTAAAAGTTGCTTGTACATATATATGTATTACAAATAAGTTAAACACAAAACAAAATGTATTATAGTGAGGGAGAAAAATTTGAAAAAAAAAATTGAAATTTCATAGAAAAATTTTGTGCAAATTTTGTGTACTTTCAAAAATCTATATTTTTTCCACTCTTTGATGTAAACATTTTTTCCACCAAATAATATTTGTGCCTCTGATAAATGTGATGATTCCATTTGAAAATCCTTAAAATTATTGTTTTAGACCCCATAAGGATATTTATCCCACATCATCATGAAGTTTCGAAATTGAGAAAGAGTCAACTATACAACCGATTTGATTTGTGTGTTCTCAATAGGTAGACACGATCCTTGCAAAAAACTGTACACATGGATCGGAGTTTTGGTATTGACCACATGTAACGATGCCGACCTGATTCAATGCAACTTGGCTGTTTGACATTCAGAAATGTCTTCAATTTTTAAGTTTGCCTTGTTAAGGTGAAGATTTTATGTTTATTATTTATTTGTTTATTTCTCATTCGAGGCAAGTCATTAACCTCATCTTCCTACAGCAGCACTGAAAAAGGTTTTGACCCACTTACCCACATATTCCCACTGAATTTGATCCAATTCAGCGTTTTTAGTTTCACTACGAGTAGAAGACTATCCCCCAACGATATTCGTATTTTTGAAGGTCTCGGCATATTGCGGCAGGGTATTTTTAATGCAATTAATTTGGATATACATTTTTCCCACGGTGTTGTAGAGCATGAAAAAATGGAGGCCGAATATAAAGCCTCTTTTCACATGTCCACACCTATTAATGTACGGATTCATTGAAATATGGTCTCCTACCTTAAGTTCTTCTCTTCAAAAAGTTTTTCCATGTACGGAAGATCCCAAAATAGTTTTTCTATATTTGCTATACCTTCACATACACTTTAGAATATCGCCTTTCTTGTACGTTGAAAAAAACGCAAAAAGTATCTATGGAGGATAAGTAAAATGGTATCTATTGAACATGTTCAAGTTTTGAGACAGCCCGTGAAGTGTTTTCGATCTTTAGTGGATCTCTAGGTTTTCTATAAGAAGACGTTAGAAAGACCTTCTATTTATATAAGACATGCCTCTCTATAGAAATCATACAAAAGATTTGTTTCTATTCTTTTTTCTCATAGAAAATCTGAAAAGTGTATTCTGTCTGTATAGACCTTTCCTTTCTACACCTAGATATAGAGAGTATGTAAAACCTTTTCCATCGAAAGGTCTCAAAACGTGTCATAATATCATATTGTTCAATATGAAGACCCGTATGCTTTTCAAGCCGGTAATATAAGCATACAGTCACCTGTTACATTGAAAATGTCGAAAAAATTATTGCAAATTTTGAAGAATAATTTTCTTGGAAAATGTCTTCAAAATTAAAAGCCCGTCGGTACAAAGTCGTTGAAAATAAAAGCGTTGAACGGAAATCATTCCCTGCATTAATGACTGAAATTGAAAAGTTAATTTAAAACGAAGAAATATTTTTCTTCCATTTAAATTGTTTAACCTTGGCCTTGGATAGGCTTATTCAGCAAAGTTATTCACAGAAGGTGAGTTCTGGACGTTGTCCTCTTTTGTATACTAAGCCCATCTGACAAATAATTTTCGCAAAGACCTTCCTAATCTCTTTATGCTCGTTTATACTCCCATTTTCCACAATGGCCTCACTATAATACACTTTGCCGGCTTTCTCTAGATTTTTGTGTTGAACCCGAAATAAAAACAATAAATGAATTTTGTTTTTTACGTTTTATTTGTGATTTTTTATTTACATACTTTTTCTAATAGCGCAACAGTTGTAATTGTTAAAAATAAAAACTACTATATTTAGAAGATATAAATGTATGTAACTGTGCATAGAGATTTAAACAAATGAAATCTCCTAAACAAAAAAAAAAACAAAAAACGACCTATCTATCCATCTATTGAATGTAACAATAATTTACAAAAAACAACAACAACAATATATAAATTTTTATACTATACTATTCTCGCTTCCATAACATCCACTACCACCATCACCACTACCAGAACCTCCTATAAAATAAAACAAGAAAACAACTAAATAACTGTAGCAAAGAATCAAATATGTAGGAGCTTCATAGCTGAAATAAAAAATATTCGACATTTTAAAATATTTGGTGGACAAGCGTTCATACCTTTTTTATTTTAGTTAGAATTTGTTTTCCAATTCATGAGCTTTATTCTTGATCTGTGAAAGTATGAAATGAAAAAAATTGCTTTGTAAGATTTTTCATTTGACATTTATTTCTTTTACAAAATTTTTCATTTAATATTTTCACAGAACAAGATCCAGAACTCATTTCGAAACCCATTTAAAATTCTGATGAGTTTTTTAAGATTTTTTCCATTTTCACTTTCCATTCCCTTTCATTTTCATTAAGTTTTCCTCCATTACTCAGAAAAAAATGCAGTGAAATAAAAGTATAGCCAAAAAAATATATTTATTAAAATATGCCTTAAATGTTGTAATTTATTAAATAAATGATAAACAAATAAAAATGGAAGATACAATAATATATACAAAAAATATAGAAAAAAGAGAAACCAAAAAACTTAATGTATTTCATAAGATACATTTTAAAAATCGATTTGTTAAAAAAATGATGGAATAAATAGTTTTCCTTAGCAAATTAAAAATAAACTATATACAGTATGAGCTTAGTAAATATAACTTATAAAATACCACATGGGAGATATACGGAATTTCGCCAGATTCAAAGCGGTATTAGAAATTAAAGAAAAATATATGGCTTTTCAGGAAAATAAATCAAAAGAATAAATTGAGAAAAATATTATCAAAAGCTCTATCGGAGAGTGATCTGGAAATATATTTAGAAAATAATTATATATTTGTTTTCTTATAGTTGAAGATTTATTCGGTGGATTACTTTGGTCTGGAGTATTCCCCTATTGGCTTAACCTCATATTACTCTCCATCACATAGAGTGATCTGCTTCAAATATTTTCATATTTTGAATATTGAATTTAATACAAATCGATAAAATAGACAAATTTTCCTTAAATACTCCTTTTCCAAAATTTTATCAAAAAAGGTGACTTTTTTTTAACCATCATTAAATTCATACAATTTTCCTTATCCGCACTCGGGGCCATTGAAGTCTCCTCTTCCTAATCGGGCTCATACTGTATATAATTTTGATAAAAAGTCAATGCTTAAAATTATTCTCATATGCGAAAATGTGCGAAACCCAACTAAAATGCTTGTTAAAAAAATAATATTCAAAAAAATCAGTAAATTGGCATTTTAAAATTAGATAGAAAATAACAAATAAGGACAAACAGATAAAATCAAATTTAATTGTAAATTGAAGAACAACAAAATTGAAAACCAGGGCCTCAATTCTTGTTCAATGAAAATGTGAAATGAAAAATTTCAAAAGAAATATTTTTCATTTTATATTTTCATCGAATAAGAAGGAATCCAGCACCAAAACAAAAAAAGAAATCAAAATAAGCAGATATTCATTTTGCAAACCATATCGACAAAAAAAAAAAAAATACAAAAAAGAAAACAAAACAAATTAATCAATAAGGTTTTTTTAATATTTTTCTAATTGGAATTGATATTTTTTCTAAAAGATACATTTTTTATAATAACAAGAAAACCAAAAAAAAAAAAAAAAAATAAAACAAAATATTAAACTAAAAAACAAACACAAACAAATAAAAGTTATCCTATTACAAAAAAGAAAATTAAAATTGTTTGCTTAGTTTTTATGTATTTTTTATATATAATATTACAAAAAAAAACAAAAAAAATATTACAAAAAAAAAAAACATTTTTTATACTTCAAAATACTAACTAACGAATAATACTAATAAAATTAATAAATAATAATATTATTGTTTCCAATTAGTAAAAGTAAAACCCCCAATACAAAAAAAACAAACAACAATAATACTAAGTGTTTTTTACCTTTATTAAATTAATATTATTATTATCAATAAATATTAAAAATAAATTGAACGGTACCTATTTTAATAATGTTTAATATCTAGTGGAATTAAAGTCAAACTACAATTACAACTATAACAAGAAAATAATTAACAAAATAAACCATTTGTATTTTGATGATTGTAAACAGGATATAAATTAAAAACGACATTAAATTGAAATAATGTTTGTATTTTTTCAAATAAATTACAAAAAAAAAATGAGATATGAATTTTTTTAGAGTTTTATTGTTGGGTTTGGATTATTGAATAATAAAAATAATATTTAAAACCCACTTCCCTGAAAAAAAACATTTTAAATACGAGAAGAAATTCTCAAAAAGCCAATTCTGTGAAAAATCGTTCTTTAAAATCTTTCAACAAAAATGTATTCTTCAAAATCCATCTTCTTGCAAAATGTCCCAAAAATCTTACATTAAAAGTAATCTTAAAAAATCACGTTCTTAAAAAAATATTTGAAAGGCTATCCCTATTCCTAAAAATCCACGTCCTTGAAAAATTATTGTTGAGAAAAATAATTTCTTATAAGTCCGCATTCTTAAATAAATTTTTAAAAATTCAAATATTCCTATAAAAAAGTTCACCTCCTTGAAAAAAAAATATACTGCAATCTACGTCCTTGAAAATCCACATCAAATATATACAAATGGAGTTCCTTTTAATTTTTATAAAAGTTCAAGTCCCTGAAATGATTTTCTTAAAAATCCAGAATAAATAAATCAAATATCTATGTCCTTTAAAAGAGTTCTAGGTGTTCAAAAAAAAAAAAAAAAAAAAAAAAAAAACATGCAATTATTGTTCTTTTAAAAAAATCCTTCCCTTTCATTGAGAAAATAATATTTTCTTAAGAAAAGTCAGCGTTTGTTTTTCAGAAAGTCCTTGAAATTAAGTATTCCTAAAAATATACCTCTAATGTTGATTGATTTGATAAAAAAATCTATTTTATAAGATTAAATAGGTGGGTATCTAAAAAATATGCATAAAATGTCGAATTTACATCATCCACATTCGTTTCGTCCTTAAAAAGTAGGTCCTTGAATAAATAATCTCAAAAAAGGCTCATATAAATAAATATATTTTTTAAATTAGACGTTTTTAAACGTTTGGTTCAAACGTTTATCGGTTTCGCCTACCTGCGCCTTGAAATCCGTCATCTTACAAAATCAAAATGTCATTTTCTGCAATTTCACCAAATACCCGGCAAACAGAATCTGAAAAAAACAGCAAGTAGCCCGACTCAAAAAAATATATGTGTAATTTTGTTCTGGCAACACTGTACAAAACCTAATATTCAAAGCATACTTCAAGGAGCTTAATTTTAGGTGGGTATGTAAGATGTTGCCAGAATAAAATTTTAATATTACTGCATTACAGCATGCTTTGAATTTTGAAATAAATCATTAATCAAGCATTGCACCACAAAATGGTAAGGGTATTATGTCTTTGTGCATCTGTTTGTAACATGGAGAAGGAAGCGAGATAGACCATTATTTACTTTTGAGGATTTTCATAAAATCACTTTCTGAATCGATTTATGCATGTCAGTCCGTCTGTGAACAAAATGCAGGTCGCATTTATTATCTGATTGGGATAAACTTTTCCAAACAAGATTTTTTGGCCCAAGAACAAACCCTGTTCAAATTGGTTAGAATGATATCAAATTTAACAAGCACTTCACAACATCAATCTTTGGTACCATATATCAGAATTTTAAACTCTTACACTTAGGAAAAAAGGGTTTAAAATGTCAAGATCGGTTCATATAGCTGTAGCTCCCATATACGGGTGAGATATAAAATTGCAACAAAGTCAAACGCCATAATTTTTTCATTTTTTTTTTAAATTTATTGAATAAAAGCAAAAAATGTAAGAAATTGCATTAAATTTTAGAATAAGTTTAGATTTGTTCGAATTGGCCAACTTTGGCACGAATTATGGCCTTCAAACTGCCAATGAAACAGTCACACGCTGACCGAATTTTGCTCTGCGATAGTTTGGCCCATTCCCGGCGAAGCGCTAGCTTTAGGTGATCGACACATTGGTATTTTTAGTGCCAACCTAGCTTTCCAAAATAATACAGACACAATAGGCCAACGGATTGGTATCAGGAGATTTTGGTGGTCATTGTGCGCTGTAAATGAAGCGAAGAACCTCGTTTTGTAACCATTCTTGGGTGGCACGTGCTAAGTGCGATGGTGCTGAGTCCTGTTGGAATGTCCAAGGTCTGTGGCCAAAATGTTTGCGTGCCCAAGGCTTTAATACACCCTCCAGAATATTTTCGCGATAATATTCGTCATTAATTCTGATGCCACGGTCGATTAATACGAGCGGAGTGCGATCATCGGCTGTTATGGTCGCCCACACCATCACCATGGCCGGCGCTTGAGTTCTCGTGGCCGGCCACCCGAAGGTGCACATTTTCATCTGACCTCTTTGGCAAGTACACAAGATCATTTTGTTTGTTTACAAACTGCTGGACAACGAATGTTTTCTTATCGGAGAAAATCCAAATTCGGCAGTTCACCACTATCGGCCAAGCGAAGCAACTCTTTAGCTCTTTTGAGTCTATTTTCTTTTTGTTGCGGTGTAAGTTCTTGCACTTTTTGAAATTTCAATGGCTTTACCCCGAGCTCAGTTTTCAATATAAGCCGAATGGAATATTGCAATATGTTCAGCTCACAAGGCATTTTTCGGGCACTGCGACGCGGGTTTCGTTCAAGTCGCTTCTTTACTTTTCGAACCATTTAAATGCTGGAGTGCTCTAACGATAGCCACTTGTGGTTTTCCAGCCAAATATAAAGAAATCACACAATCACGAATATCATTTTTTCTGGAAAATGCTCACCAGAATGCTTTTGTACGCTTGTAAACAATATAATGAGCTGTCACTGGAATGTTTTTAACAGCTGTCGTACGAGAGACTTTGAAATGACAGCAGTCTGAAGTTGGTTGCAGTTTTTTCATCTCACCCTGTATTTCTGATTGTCTGGATATTGTGTGAATATACAGGAAAATATATTTTTTTTTAATTTTGTGACAAAATGTTCGATGAAATTATATAATACAAATCTCCGTTGTCGAAATGTTATTTCTGAAAGCCACAAAGTCTAAACGAACACTTGACCTCAAAGAGGGCTTAAACGACGGAAGCTCCCACCACTGATAATATATTGTGTCGCTGCTGGTGCTCTTAACCACTAATCACGTCAAGCTGCTGGAACTTATCAAGGGCTGACGTAACGGCTTAAGCTAGAATCTTGAAATTTTGAGTGTAAATGAAGGGTATTAAATATCAGATCGCTGATCAGATGTGGGATAGATGTACTAAAGATTATTTGGATATAAACACTTTTGGTCCACCAAAATCGTAGCATTTGAGGATGAGGATTATGTTCTTTTAGATATAGACATCGATTTGCAAATGTCTACTATAACGTGCATGATAAGTACTAAATGCCGCTAAAATTGTAAAATAGAGCAGGAAAAGAGCCTAAGCGTGATTTTCTATATAAGATCACTGTGGAATATATGAAATATATTCGGCCTATTTTATGTATTTGACTGTAAACCAATATCTTATGATTAGAGTACAGTAGAGAGCTTGGAATCAAATTTTGCCGAATTGTGGGACTGTAATTAATTTATGATTTTAATCCCACATTTAATTTCCATCCTAATTAAATAACATTGACCTTTAACCTTCGGCCACAGTGAAAAAAAAACTTGTTGATTCAGATATCGAAAGATTAGCTAGACTTGCTGGCCGTAAAAGAAAATTGTGTGGTAAACCACAATAAAATAGAAAACAGACACAAACAACCAATAACTATAATTTTTAAGGTTTCCCTCAGGCAAATGCAAAACAAATCGATAACAGACGGATTAGAAGGAAAGGAAACAGCAAACGTTTTTATTGTTATGGTTGTCGTATTTGGTTTAATTCCTTGTCACTTTTGCATAATATCACGACATTGATAATGACAAGAAAACACAAAATGGAAAATGTCATAACATATGAACGGAAAGAAGTCAGAGGTCAAATATCGAGCAAAGGCGGATGTGGAATACCCTAAGGTGTTCAAAAATGAAAAACAGTCGAATAGCAAAAACTCTTAAAAATACATGTTTGTTGCTCTGTTGGTCCTTGAAAAAATATTAGTAAAATTTTGAAAAAATATAAAAAATTAAATTAAAATAATCCTTAAAAATAATAAAAAAAAAACAGAATTAAATAATCCTTAAAATAATGTAAAAAATCAACGTAAAATAATTCTTAAAAATAATTTAAAAAATCCACGTTCTGTTGATCCTTGAAAAAATATTTTTTAAAAAATTCTTAAAAAAATATTCTTTAAAAAATTCACGTTCTGTTGGACTCTGACAATATTTTTTTAAAACCTTGAAAAAATATTCTTTAAAAAATTCACGTTCTGTTAGACTTTGAAAAAATATTTTTTAAAAAATCCTTGAAATTTTTTTTTAAATTCACGTTCTGTTGGACTTTGAAAAAATATTTTTTAAATTATCCTTGAAAAAATATTCTTTAAAAATTCAGGTTCTGATGGTCCTTGAAAAATATTCTTTAAAAAATTCACGTTCTGATGGTCCTTGAAAAATATTCTTTAAAAAACCCACGTTCTGTTGGTCCTTGAAAAATATTCTTTAAAAATCCACGTTCGTTTGAACCTTAAAGAAGATGCTTTAAAAATTCACGTTTTGTTGGTCCTTAAAAAATATTCTTTAAAAATCCACATTCGTTTGGACCTTAAAAAATAGGCTTTAAAAATTCACGTTTTGTTGGTCCTTAAAAAAAATATCCTTTAAAAATCCACGTTTTGTTGCTCCTTGAAAAAATATTCTTTAAAAATTCACGTTTTGTTGGTCCTTAAAAAAATATCCTTTAAAAATCCACGTTTTGTTGCTCCTTGAAAAAATATTCTTTAAAAAATCCACGTTCTGTTGGACCTTAAAACTATTCTTTAAAAAATCCACGTTCTGTTGGTCCTTGAAAAAATATTCTTTAAAAAATCCACGTTTCTGTTGGTTCTTGAAAAAATATTCTTTGGAAATCTACGATCTGTTGGTCCTTAGGGTATTCAAATAAACGCTATGACGGGCCACAGGTTTTCTTATTCTGTTGTTTTGTTATTTTTCCTACGCTTGTATGTGTTACAAGTAACCTTCCATTATACGAGGAATGTATGCTATAACAAAATAAAACAAAAACAATTACCACAAAGAATTTTTGCTATAAAAACAACGTTTTGCTTACGGAAATATTTTAGTTTTTTACCAGACGTCGTTGAGTTCGTGCAACCAGAACAACCACCGAAATCCGAACCAAAATTCCCAAACACCAATTTAGGATTATTCTCACCATGGTGAATACAACAATGCAGGAGTGGATGTCCAACGAAATGGAACGTTTATCCTTAAAATGGGAACGCTATAAACCAGCCTGTTCGGGATATAATCGCATACACTCGGTACGCCTGTCCAAGAGTGTTACCCATATGCTTAATAATCCCCTGCCTGCCGAGGATCGTTTAGGTGGCAGCTGTTCATCGACGACGTCTATGCAACGAAGTGCCAGTCAAACTTCACAAGTCTTGAGTCGTTCGCCATCATCGTGGGAGGAAGTTTATCCTACAGTGCGAATCACACGCCAAGACTCGGAGGGGGAAAGAAAAGAGAGTGCACAAAAGTTCGCCTACTATCGGAATTGTTCGACACGTGTCACGTAGAATGCTATGCCAGGGCGTATGGATTTATTTGGAAACAATTTGAAAATATAGATGATAATAATTTGTGGAAAGTGCAGCATTTTGATGGCAATGTCGCCCAAGCGTTGGCACTTGTAAACGGAGCAATGCATTTCGTTTTTGCTGATAATTGCAACTCCTTGCGGTAGAATAATTTTGAATAGTTTTTCTAGATTTATATATTTGTAAAAGAGATTTCTATTTTTGTATATCCCTGATGTCAAGAAGAGAAGGAAAGTGAATGTTAAAGTGTCCCCCTGTAGATTAAGATGAATATGCCGAAACAAATTACAAACGAAATTGTTTCAATAACAATTATGTTTCAATAAAAACGACATGTTTGTTATAAACAAAAAGAAACAAAATTACGTTATTTTTCATAAAAATGGTATAACGTCTCAGTTAGAATCTACGACTCAAGAGCCTAAAAAAGACAAGACGAATTCATAAAAAATCAAGAATAAAAAATGCAAGAAAAAAAATAATTTCATGGGTGACTAGAAAAGTTATTTAAAAAGAAACTCTGAATATTTAAAAGGGACTAGAACATGCTTAAGAAAAATCAAATATTGGAGATGGAGATGAAGCTTAAAAATTTTAAAAAGCCACGTTTCGAGAAGAAATCTTGAACAGGTTAAATAGTATTACTCTGTTTTGCCGCCAGATATATACCTCAGCCATTGCCCGTATATTTAAATGTATTTTGACTTGTGTTATGATTATTCAAAATTGTTGACCTATTATGGGGAGGGGGTTCCGAAGGAATGTGCCAATATTATTCATTTCGTATCTGATCTAAGCCTGATTCAAATATTACAACGCGCAAGAATTTATGCGGATTTTTTAAAAATTGTAACTCCATATTTACATCAGATCCCTGCTTGACAAAAATATGTCTGTAGATGTACATAGTTTAAAAAGTATCGCTGACTTGCTTCAAAAGGTATTAAGTATTGTTACCCTTTGTGGGAAAGGTACCCAAAGGGGTGGGCTGAAGTATCCAACCAAAAATATTGGTAAAAATGTGTAAAATTTGAAGAGAATCTCATTTATTTAAAATATTAACACCTTTGGGGGAAGCTAGAAAAATTCTTTAAAAAATCCACGTTTAAAAATATTAAAGGAGGCTAGAAAAATTCTTTAAAAAATCCACGTTTAAAAATATTAAAGGAGGCTAGAAAAATTCTTTAAAAAATCCACGTTTAAAAATATTAAAGGAGGCTAGAAAAATTCTTTAAAAAATCCACGTTTAAAAATATTAAAGGAGGCTAGAAAAATTCTTTAAAAAATCCACGTTTAAAATATTAAAGGAGGCTAGAAAAATTCTTTAAAAAATCCACGTTTAAAAATATTAAAGGAGGCTAGAAAAATTCTTTAAAAAATCCACGTTTAAAAATATTAAAGGAGGCTAGAAAAATTCTTTAAAAAATCCACGTTTAAAAATATTAAAGGAGGCTAGAAAAATTCTTTAAAAAATCCACGTTTAAAAATATTAAAGGAGGCTAGAAAAATTCTTTAAAAAATCCACGTTTAAAAATATTAAAGGAGGCTAGAAAAATTCTTTAAAAAATCCACGTTTAAAATATTAAAGGAGGCTAGAAAAATTCTTTAAAAAATCCACGTTTAAAAATATTAAAGGAGGCTAGAAAAATTCTTTAAAAAATCCACGTTTAAAAATATTAAAGGAGGCTAGAAAAATTCTTTAAAAAATCCACGTTTAAAAATATTAAAGGAGGCTAGAAAAATTCTTTAAAAAATCCACGTTTAAAAATATTAAAGGAGGCTAGAAAAATTCTTTAAAAAATCCACGTTTAAAAATATTAAAGGAGGCTAGAAAAATTCTTTAAAAAATCCACGTTTAAAAATATTAAAGGAGGCTAGAAAAATTCTTTAAAAAATCCACGTTTAAAATATTAAAGGAGGCTAGAAAAATTCTTTAAAAAATCCACGTTTAAAAATATGAAAGGAGGCTAGAAAAATTCTTTAAAAAATCCACGTTTAAAAATATGAAAGGAGGCTAGAAAAATTCTTTAAAAAATCCACGTTTAAAAATATGAAAGGAGGCTAGAAAAAATCTTTAAAAAATCCACGTTTAAAAATATGAAAGGAGGCTAGAAAATTCTTTAAAAAATCCACGTTTAAAAATATGAAAGGAGGCTAGAAAAATTCTTTAAAAAATCCACGTTTAAAAATATGAAAGGAGGCTAGAAAAATTCTTTAAAAAATCCACGTTTAAAAATATGAAAGGAGGCTAGAAAAATTCTTTAAAATATCCACGTTTAAAAATATGAAAGGAGGCTAGAAAAATTCTTTAAAAAATCCACGTTTAAAAATATGAAAGGAGGCTAGAAAAATTCTTTAAAAAATCCACGTTTAAAAATATTAAATGAGGCTAGAAAAATTCTTTAAAAAATCCACGTTTAAAAATATTAAAGGAGGATAGAAAAATTCTTTAAAAAATCCACGTTTAAAAATATTAAAGGAGGCTAGAAAAATTCTTTAAAAAATTCACTTTTAAAAATATGAAAGGAGGCTAGAAAAATTCTTTAAAAAATCCACGTTTAAAAATATTAAAGGAGGCTAGAAAAATTCTTTATAAAATTTGGAAGCCAGAAAATTATTTTAAAAATATACGTTTCAGGATGTCAAAGGAGGGCAGAAAAAATATTTTAAAAACACACGTTTGAGAAAAAATCTTAAACAAATGCACTTTTAGGGATTTCAAATGGAACTAGAAAAGTTCTAAAAAAACATGCACGTTTAAGGATGTCAATGGAGGCAATGGCGAAGTCACGTTTGAGACAGTCACATGAACCTAGAAAAAATCTTTGAAAGAACCATGATTGGGGATGTCAAATGGGGCTAGAAAAAAATCTTTAAAAATGTACTTTTGAGAATGTGGGAAAAATCCAACTTGGAGGACGTGGATGTAGATTAGAGTTTGTTTTTAATCCATTTATATGACTTAAAAGGAGGCTAAGAAAAATTCTTCAAAAAATACACGTTTGACGATGTCAATGAAGGGCAGAAAATTTCTTTAAAATGGCCAGGTTAAACAATTTCTAAGGAAACTAGAAAAAAACTTTAATAAATTATTTTTTTGAAGCTGTCTAGTGACTCTATAAATATAGGGAAGTTCGACAATTTTGAAACAAAAGAAAAAACAAATGTGTGACTGTCAAGGAAGGGTAGAAAAATCCAAGACACAGCGTTTGAAGATGTCAAAGGAGGTTCGAAAATATTTTTGAAAATCCGATCGAAACTCATAATGGGGTATAATTCTCGATTCATAGTTGTTGATGTTTTAATCCACTTTTGAAGATCTCGGAAAAGGCGACATTTTCGTTTACAAAATAATCGATGCGTGATTGGTTAGTACCTCAAATGTGGAATTGAAACTAGGTTCACAAAATCCTTAAAGGCAAAGTTCCAACGAATTTGAATTAATATGAGTTTTTCTTCAATGGACAGTAGGTCCTGTCAAATTTCCTCATTATGGTGTTCTACGCAGTTTATATAAATTTCCCATTAGCGTCTTTAATTCCTCCGGTTCTTATGGATTTTACTCTGGAATCCCAGTTTTCAACATCCAGCGATATACACACTTTTTGATCGGGGTTTCAGAACTTACAATTCAATTCTAAATTCAGAATATTTTTAAGGGTAAAACATCTGACATCTTGTTCATCATTCAATTCATCTTAGGGTCACAGGATTGATTTCTTTGTCGACTTACGATCGCCCTGAACCATACAATCAATATCATCCTGCTCAAAGTAGGCATAAATGAGACGAAGATTATTCGTAAAACCTGCACCATCTTTCCAAGGCGAAACAATGAGTATGGTATCGCCAGTTTTCACAATCCCTATACGTTTTGCAATATTCAGGGCATATTGTATGCGGACATCTACACCTTCCAACCAATTGTCATCGAGTTTTTCTGGAAAACAAATTACAATTATTAATTGAGGACCAAATGGAGTAAGGTAAGTTGGTTTACCTGTGTAAAGAATTGGAACAATGCCACGATAAAGAAAACATTGCCTAAATGACCGAGAACATCTCGTCACAGCCAAAATAGGACATTTAGGATGATATTTTGCCAGCAAATGAGCCGAACGTCCGGAAGTGGTTAGAACAATAATTGCCGAAGCCTTCGTTTTATTGGCAGCATTAACAGCAGATATGGCAACGGTATTAACTGGATCCAAAGTGAGGGGAATATCTATCACTCCATTTCCCCTGCGCAAAGCCAACTCAAATTCACGAACTATACCATCCATCATGGCTACAGATTCCACAGGATATTTTCCAATAGCTGTTTCCGCCGAAAGCATAACACAATCGGCACCATCTAATATTGCATTACCCAAATCTGCTACTTCTGAGCGGGTGGGTGTTGGCTTCTTGCACATGGAAGCTAGAAGCTGGGAGGCAATTATTATGGGCTTTCCCGCTTTATTGCAAAGTTCAGCAATGGCTTTTTGAGCTAAAAATATTTTTGCCGGAGGGATTTCTATTGCCAAATCAGCTCGATCGAAGAGTATGCCATCAGCCTCGGACAATAACTCATCAATATTTTGCAAACTTTGGAGGCAATCGATTTTGGCTATTATCTTTAGCTCTTTGCCCTTTGGACCCAATACCGAACGTATTTCTTTAACAGCTTCAGCATTACGCACAGTTGAAGCAAAAATCATATCAAAATAATGTTTGAGAGCAAATTTCAAATCACTTCGATCTTTTTCCGATACAGCTGGCAGGTCTACATTGACTCCGGGTAAATTAATTTTCTTGCGAGAACCCAATGTACCACCACGGCGTATTTGACACACCACACAATCCACACCCAATTCCTTTACCACCAACTCCACGGCTCCATCATTTATGTACACCAAATATCCCGGCAGCAGGACATCAATAATTCGTTCATAATCCACATAAATAAAATCACGATTGCCCTTATCCATCAGATCACGATTGATGGATAGACGAAAATTATCATTGGGTTTCAATTCGATTTCAGCATTTGAACCAGCTTCCAAGAGGCCAGTCCTTATCTCGGGCCCCTTCGTGTCTAAGGCTAAAGCAATTTGTATATTACGCCCCAGCTCTTGGGAACAATGTTCAGCGGCTTCGTGTAATAACTGCAGCGATTTCTCATGAAACATTTGTGTGTCATGCGAGAAATTTAAACGAGCTATATTCATGCCAGCCATAATCATTTGTTGTAATATTTGGGGATCTTGAGATGCTTTCGATATTGATGAAATAATACTGGTACGACGATATTGAGAAGCGGGCTCATTGAAGATTAGGTGGCACTTTCGTGCCATTGACTGGTCATCGTTCATTTTTATTG